AAAATATCCCTTAATTGGACACTTTTCATTTAATGTCCTGTGTTGGTAAATTATTCAGTAAATGTATTCCTACTGAAGAACAAAGTTATCTCTTCTTCACACAGTCACAAAAGAAAATGAATAATCATCAAACCTAATGAGGTCTTTGATAATATAGTGGGGTGTTAATAAAAATCTAACAGATAATGTCTGAAGCTGTTAGACCAAAAATACAGACAATGTAGGAAAACCATGTATGCTCTGTGTACCTTGATCCTGAGCGAGTTTCAGCAGCTTGAATTGGGTGACTTGCTGGTGAAGTCTGGCCAGTTTTGGACTTTGGCAGCCCTGCTTAGCTATTAATGTTGGTGTCTGGCAAGGGGAAGAGCTCAGTGGCGATAGGCCAGGCTGCCAACAAGAGAAAGATGAAGCCTCAGTTTTATTTCCTGGAGTGATATCATCAATATTTTGAACAGTGGTGTCAAAATAACATGGAAACATTACTGGTGACTCAGGGCCTCTCCTAGGTGAAGGAGTGGCAGGAGAGGAAACATAGTCCTGTCTTAAACCTGAAAAATATGAACCAAAGTTATCACAATCAAATCTTTAGTATGTGCTGTACTCTAGATCATCAATAATACTCCTCTATACTCACTGTCTTCCTGTATACGAGCCATAATGTGGACATCTGTGATGTCCTGCAGTCTGTAACTTGTGGTTATGGAGTTATGGGAGAAGCTCAGCTCATTGTTATCTGTGCAGATTAATACATGCAAAACATAAAACATAATATGATATTAAACATTTTTTGGATGAACATAAAGGTTTGCTATGTGTACAAATTGCTTTGCCTTGAAAATGGAATATTTCTACATGAATTATGATATTGTTTTCACAGACCAAGTGAGTTACATCTAAGAATACATTACATAAAAAGGAAAAGCTCTTGGTATTGTATTACCTAAACTGTCAGAGGTATAGTGTGTTGTGCTGAAGAATGTTTTGTCCATAGAGGAGACATTCCCAGTATGATGGCAAACTGCAGGACGTCTGTAGAAGCTACTGCTTGATCCTGACAATACAGAGAGTGCGTATGAGGTAAACCAAAGTGATCACCCTTAGAAGAATCTTTTTTTAATCAAAACTATTTGCAGGACAATGAGTAAGTGTGTACTGCTTGCTTACTTTGATCCAGCTTATTTGTCAGTGAACGACATGCCGCCTCCATCTCAGGACTGGGGTTATCCAGGATGTGTCGACACCATCTGAGCGCAGATTCAGACCGCTCCACAAACACCTCCTTCTTCTGAGACTCATACAACCTGTGAGTAAAAAGAGGAATTCAATTCATTCACTAAGAACATATCCCACTCCTGCTCTATGTAAAGTACCTGTTCTGAGGAGTTTTCGTGCCAAATACCAGTCAGATTGTGAGGTTAGCTCTCCTGATTAGCACCCACCTTATCAGCACCTTAATAACATGTATTTTAAAGTGTATGGTGACTTGGACATCAGATCAAACCTGGGGTCAAGGTTGTTGTTTTTTTACATTTAACATTGTCCCACCCTTTTAAAAGTCAGACCAGAATACAAGTCCCACTGTCAGAGGTCTGATGGCACCTACCAGCTCTCCTCATCCTGCACGTCGTCCTCTACATCAAGCAACTCTACCAAGTCCAAAGCAGACTCTTCTTCCTGTGACTCTTCACTGTCCCAGAGGTCTTTATAGTTGCACAACATCTCATCCATGGTACAGCAAGGCAAGAGTGAATTACACCCAGACTTCAAACTATCTAGTCTTTTTCTAGCAGCCATTGCAAATGAACGATTATTACTCTTGGCTCTTGCTTGCTCAGTGTCTTCCCAGATGCTGCTGTATGGATCTGAGTTGCCCTCCAGCCTCACAGGGCTGGAGGGCAACTCACTGCAGAGAAGATGGCGCTTTGCACCTGTGTCAAACTCCGTGGCTGGCTGATTGCAAAAATACAGGCTCCAATCGCTCTTCAAATGGTCTTGGAGATCCATTTTCTCAGTGAAATCCTAGGTGACTTGCTGGTGAAGTCTGGCCAGTTTGATAAACTACTGATGCTGGTGACTGGCTTCTCACTTCTTCCAGTACTCGTCCAGTTGTGTTTTAGTCCACTTCACCCCCTCCAGAAAGTTGTTCCCAAACCAGAATCTGATGTGATCCTTTAAAGTTCCAATGACGGTAATTGCACAAACAGCAGCTCCACTATACCATCTATTGACCCAGATTTGTTGAGTAGGACTGTTAAGTATAGACACTCAACAGATTGGATGGATTTAGAGAAGCATCATGAGCTTATGTGGATTAAACAGTCCGCGAGTTGCAACTAAGAAAGAAAAAGAGCCACTCAACATTATAATATGGACAAAACCTATAGGCTAGTCAAGGTTATAGTAGCTGAAAAGTCACATGGTAGCATGTCACATTGCTGTTTATCTGTCAAAGGCATTAAAAATTGTACATTCAGCACACCATTTGCTTAGTTTGTAGTGTTAATAGGTAGATGTTTGTTTTCTCCTCTATATGGCCGCTATTAGGCTATATGTTGACTTTGCTTTGGTGGTAGGGGCGATTGTTCACTGTGCAGCTGTTTTACTTTTGGTTCTCACATTGCTGAATGTTTGTGGTCAAATGTACCTGATTCACTCATCACATAGGAGGAAGTTGTAGTAAGAAGTGTTGTCAGGTTCTCTTTCTCTCTCTCTCTCTCTCTCTCTCTCTCTCTCTGTCTCACACACACACAGGCAGATTAAATCAGAATAAGAAGGAGCTTTATTGCCAAGTAGTGTTTTACACATATGAGGAATTTGCTGTGGTGATAAGGTGCTACAGGTAGACAAACATACAGTCAACATAAATAAATGTAGAAATATATAAATATGGAATGGAAGAACAACGTTGTAGATATATAAATGTGCATTATTCTGGGTCTGTGCCTTGCAGAAGTAACGGAATGGAAGAGAATATTGTGTACATATAAATTTATAAACTGACAACATAAAAATATACAACAAAGATCAACAATCAACAACAAATATGTGCGATCAGGTCTGTGCCCGACACGAGATGAAATAGCATTTACATGTGCAGAAACATTTGTATCATTTGCAAGGGGGGTGGTGTCAGTGCCTTGTTAATGAGGCTAGTTGCAGACGGGAAGAAACTGTTTTTGTGGCGAGAGGTTTTGGTCCTGATGGACCGCAGCCTCCTGCCAGAGGGGAGAGTCTGAAACAGTTTGTATCCGGGGTGGGAGGGGTCAGCTGCAATCTCTCCTGCTAGCCTCAGAGTCCTCGAAGCGTAGAGGTCCAGAAGAGAAGGAAGATTGCAGCCAATCACCTTCTCTGCAGAGCGAATGAAACGCTGCAGCCTGCCCTTGTCCCTGGCAGTGGCAGCAGCGTACCAGTTCACTAACAAGGACCACGCCAATGTTAGATTGTATAGTGGTTTATTATGATGAATAGTAATGAAAGGAGGGGTCGAGAGAAGAGGGATGAAGGGGCCGAGGAGGTTGTTTAGGGTTTGGCGGCTAGGAACCCGAGGGGTCGAGATTCAGGGTGGGGGCTCATCTCGATAAGCAGCTTGGTCTTATGAACCCCCCTGTGGTTCCTGTTGTAGAAGAAGACGAAATGATTACTATGCAGAATTATGGATTTTAGTGTGTATGTCTTTCATGATGGGAGAAAGCCGGAGCGCCCAGGGGACACCCACTCAACGCGGTGAGAACATGCAAACTCTGTGCAGGAAGGCCTGGGCTGAGCGAGGTCTAAAGTCAGAACCTTCTGCTGCGAGGCCGCAGTGCTGGCCACTGGGCCACCGCGCTGCCCATTAAAAGAGGTGACCAAGCAGGGTTTGGGTGGGAGGGATGTGAGAACTGAGAAACGGGAGAGAAAACAGGTTAGACAGCTTTGAGTGCATGTGACTGGATTTGAGAAGCACAGGTGGATGGAATGAGTGAAGTACGGGTGGTTGATTGGAGGAATGAATGAAGCGCAGGTGGTAGAATAGTGAGAGAGGCGTGGTCCTGTTCCTGAACCTCAGTTTACATAACTCTATATGGTAATGGAGGAAGTGAGGATGGACTTAATGATGGCGGTGTAGAAGTAGAAGTTATATTAACACAATATACACAGCTTCCCTTACAGCCATGTGATTCCTCAAATGGTCCTCCTTTCTCACCCAAAACCCAGACATCAAGTGCTACTTTGTTTTTATCAACTTTAACTGTCACTTACAATTGAATCAAGTGTGAAAACCGTTTAAATGAAGCCATGGGAGCTAAAATTAACTGACCTACTGACCATGAGGGCTTAATAAGCTTCAAATAGTCCCTATGTCACTAAGTTCTTGAACAAAATATTTTTTAAAGACACAAAGGACTCATTTCTGTGACACTTTCTGGTGTGATTATCTAGGTCTTGTCAATGAAGACAATGTAGACTACATAATAGGCTATTCTCTAAATGCCTAAAAGAGGAAACAGAAATGGTGTTTTAGATCAAGTGTTATCACATTTGACAAAGGTACCAAGATCCATGTATTTACAATTTCAAATTACTATTTCCAATGAGCTTTCATGCTTCAGTGTTATCATATTTTTGGCAATGTCCTTCCTGTTCATGACCTGTAAGCACTGTTATTCTTTGCACATTTAACCCCATAGCACCACGTGTTGTAGTTTCTTTTGGTGGTGTGACCCAGGGCCCATTCAGGTTCACGTTTCATGTAACTTGCAATGACATCCTTTTGTGGTTAAACTAAATATTTCCCTTGATGTAATTTTCACAATAAAATGAATAAATTTCCTTCATTTTGAAAAACAAAGAAACAAGTTTAGACATGGTCAAGTTGCCCAGGTACCTCCCATAACTCACCTGCCCCTCCCTAAACATCCTAAACTCAACCCTGCCCTCATCTCAGACAAAACAAAGTAGGTGAGGACGAGGTGTCTCCTCCTCCTCCGTGTCTGTGCTGCGCTTGCGCGCTGCCTCCCTGCGCTTTACCTCGACACCCACCGGCTCGTTTCCTTATCGTCATCGTTGATGTCTCCCTACCCTGTCACACCCGGTTAACGCCGACCGACCGCACTTCTTCAGCTCCCACTTAAACAACAGCAAAATGGTGTACTTCCAAGAGAACTTTCCAGTGTGAACATGTTGATTAACGAGCGACAAATAAAGGAGTGAAGCACCACCTGTGCCCGGGGGGAGAAATGCTGGACGAAAGCGGCAAAGCAGGACCGGGGAGCCCCGCTGTAGCCGGCAGTGCGCAGGTAGGACCGGATGTTTGTTACTCAGGCTCTTCACTTGGTCCACGCCAAACATAAAACTCTGTGTGGGTTTGAGACACACCAAAGCAATGTAGGACCTCTTTATGAGCTATTTAATTTCACCTTCCGTTGCTCCCAGGCGTGTAGGCGAAAGATAAAATGACTTCGGACGAAGTAGTCTAACCTGTCCGTCCACATCTCACCTCTGAGGCTCGTCTTCAGAGACACACTGTGCAGACACACTGTAGACAGAGACACAGGTGATGATCACTCATAGTTCTGCTGGTTTAATATTAGGTTATTCAACATGATCGAGTTGGCATTAAAATTAGGTTTTCCCCAGAGGTGTAGCTTTGTGCCATTTATAGATATGTAGCCTGATTTTGACCAAAGCAGTATTTGCCCAATTCTACAATATTCAGGCCTCTCATTAGCCCTACTTAATTTTACAGTGGTCTTTTTTTCAGCAATTATAGGAAGTCCTCAGTAAATGCATTTATTTATTCAAGGTTTTAGAGCAGAACGATCAGATGATTGATTAAAAAAACTAATGCCAACATTTGATATAATTAATTAATCAAGCAAATAATTGATAAAATAATTGGCAGATGAATCAATATTGATGCAACTGGTTTTGATCAATTTCTGAATGGCTATGGGATCATGAATATGAATAGGACATTCAACAATTGGGCCAAGAGAGCCACATCCATTCACTGAGTTTCCCCTGAAATAGTTTGCCTCCCCCTGGGGAGGCCTACCTCCCACTTTGGAAACCTCTGTCTAGTTATCTTGTAGGGTGGAACAATTAATCTAATCTGGCCGACACATCAAATTCTACAGAGTTTGGTACAGATCCTTGCAAAAAGACGTTACAGTTTTGGATTACTCAAAACTTGAGCATTTCTAAGGAAACTATGGTTATTGTATTTGTGTTACTGGATTAGCATCTTCAGACACAAAACAATGACGGTAACTGCACGTAAAGCAGAAGCTCTGCTGTTATCAGACTTCCTCCCTGCGACCTGTGTGAAAAAATAGTTCCTCTGTTGTTGGATGGCCTGCAGGAAGGAAGAGGAAGTCCACTCTGTGTTTACACTTAATGAGTTTCATAGACATAAAGGTTTTTTTGACAGTACATTATTTCTCCACTATTCTATATAATCCGCATACAAACAGCTTGACTCCCTTGTCATCAAGAGGGGACAGAACTGGTTAATTTCAGATTTGCATTGATATTTGTATTACAGTATGTCTCCTCTCTGACTCTTATTTCACTGTCCCAATAATGTGATTTTGTTTTTTGTAGAATTCGGTACATTTGAACGGACATACTGTCACTCAAAATGGTAACACCCCGACAGCTACGCCTGCACCACAGCCACAGTGTGAATCCCAAGCCTCGAGTCCCACACCCACTCCAAACCCGATTGTCCCGAGGGAGCAGTGGGGAGGGAAGTACGAGTTCTTGCTCTCCTGTATGGGATACTGTGTGGGACTTGCGAACGTCTGGCGGTTCCCATACCTTTGTTATCGCAATGGAGGAGGTGAGCAGTCTGCAAGCATGTTCACTGCCCTGTATGAAGTCTCAAATGCTTTGATTGCCTGGGTCTATAATGATTTGTTACACCCATTTAGGCAAGAGGCACTCTTCACCCTGCCCTTGCCTTGGGTGTGCACTGCCCTCTTAATCATGCTGGCTTATTTTGAACACAGCTCTCCATGGCAGCCTTAGGTAGAGACAGTGTTTTCCTTGATTACATACCAGACACGATGCCTGCCTTTCTAATCCAGCCTTACGTAGGCTACTATGCATCTTCAAATCAAACATGTTGGAGCTTGACTAGAAGTAAAGCGGAATACCATCTGTCTGTGAAGCTGCCACCTAGACAGAGGTTGTTTTAACCTGCCTCTATGGGCCGTCTACATGTAGCTGCATAAAACAAGTCATTACACTGGATGTCTTTACTACCAGCACCCTTCCTCAAGATGTTGTATTTCTAATGTTCACAGGTGTGTTTCTCATCCCCTACTTCATCATGCTGTTTTTTACGGGTGTTCCACTCTTCCTCATGGAGCTGAGTTTGGGGCAGTACGGAGCAGCTGGCCCCATCATGGTGTGGAAATGCTGCCCTCTGCTCAAAGGTAATGAACTCCTGTATCATGCTTTTTTGGCCCAGTCATTACACACTTACATACACAACTTGAAACCCTTCAGAGATAATTATGTTAGTGTGGTGACGTAATATGTGCTTAATTCTAATAAGTTTGCTGTGTTGGGAAGGTTTCTTTGGAAATGTAATATTATATTAATTATATCAATATTAAATGTAATTTTACTCATTACATTTAATTACTTTTTCATTACTTTTCTATATTTCTAATGAATGTTTTTAACTGTTATCAATTTTCAAAAGACAGTTTGAGAGGCAATTTAACTGGCAGATGGGTAGCGCCGCAAATTCAAACACGAGAACCAATCAAAAGCATCAGAATAGCATCAAACATTACTAAACGGCAGTGGCTGGATATGGCATAGGAAGACATTGTGCACATGAAAAACATGCAGCAAAATTAACATTATTCAACATATAGCCTAGCTTTTTACAGAAAATATTCAGATGTAACCTGCAATTTAATCATGAAAGTTTTCAGAAGTAACTGTAATTTAACTACACATTTTCCACTTTTATTTACATCACATTTATTTTGTAATTAAATTACATAACTAAATTACATGTACATAGTTCTCCCCAGCACTGTTAGTTGGACAGTGTATAATATAACATGTTGTGTATAAACATGACTGATTAAAGTTCTGTGTTGATTCTCCAGGAATCTTGAGCATCCAGTTTTAACAATATGTAATGATTTAAGAAAGCAGGATCTGAAGATGACATCAAAATGCCCGTCACCAGTCAGTCCAGAGTAACATTCCAGTCCAGAAAAATAATTAGCTGACTCACATCAGTACAGCACATAACCCTAAAAATACCTCACATCTCTGCAACTCAGTTTCTAAATATAAACATCTGATAATAAAAAAAAATGCGCGAACTGTCTTTGAACCAAAAATAGAGCCAGAAAAGCAGGTTTTACCATATGGCTGTATTTTATTTTAAAACAGAAATGCCAGCAGCAGGTTGAATTAAGACAGCGTTGAAATTGAGCTCCTCCAAGTGTTGCAGAAGGAAAAAAGCACAATCAACTTTATACAACAGGGGATTCATAGCTACCTGTATATTAAATGATCCAACTGATATCTCATATAGTATCCTTACACAATAGTGTATATCCTGTTTTTCTAAGATACTTAAGGCTGTGTCTCTTCTTGTAGGTATTGGCATTGGGATGCTCTGTGTGTCCACGCTGGTGTGTCTCTACTATAACATCATTATAGCATGGACTTTTTACTACCTGGGCAGCTCGTTCCAGAGCCCTCTGCCCTGGTCCTGTGAGGCGATAGCCAATATAGGTCTCTGTGGTAATGCCACCACTGGCAATAGCTCCACTGGTAAAGGACTCAGCCCCACAGAGATTTTCTGGAGGTAAGTGTCTTTGCACGTCCCCTCTCTTATTTGTAAAAGTAATAATGAAGCCTGCTTTGCAAATGTATACAGGCTGTTTTAAAATAAAATGATGAATAAATGATTTTGAACTGTAAATCTCCATACAATTTTATTTAAAGTCATACAAGTATAATTTTATATTACATATTTGTCCACGCCTTTTGCTGAGCAGTATGCTGCATACAGACCGTGTTCAAATGCTGTTTTGAGGTAGTGTGCACAATAACTGAACACTTCAAACTGGTTAAGCTGTCACCTTTTCAGCTTACATGACTGAAGACTTTCCGGCAAAACATTTTGATGCATGGAGATACACAGTAGTACTGTGTAACACCTACATGATATGTTATACAAGATAAGACTATATTTTGTTGTAAGGCGACTATATACGACTATAATTCTTTATAATGACTATAATACTTTACAAGTTAAGTATCATATTGACATTTACTCCTCGGCATGAAAGGTTGTACAGAAATACTTGGTATACTTGGTATACATACTGTATAATAGTTTCAAAATCAATCCGTAATACATGACAATATTCATCAATATATATTATAATCCAAAACAACACCTTGGAGATATTTCTACATTACTTTTTTAAGAAGACAACAAGCTGTAAGTCAACATTGGAATAACAATACAGGGGGATACGAGACAAAATAAAAAAAATAAAGAAATTTTAAATAAACATAAATACATGAATAACAACAAAATTACTTGTGTGTAATTTAGGTGTGTGTGTATGTGCGCGCACACATGTACATGTCCCTGTCTATGTCATGCAGAACTTAATATTGTAAAGTATTTTGATCATATGTTTAATGCCTTAATGACTGGTAATACATTGTATGTTACATTACACTGCTTACTATACATTATGAAGGCTCACAGCAACTCTTATAATGCATTATGCATTTGTTACATCACATTGCAAATACATTATAGATAAATCAAATGCCTTCACAGTTACAGCAATGCCTTGTTTTTATTGTGTCAGTTAATGCGTGATTAATACGTGTGGTAAGAGGTTTGCTGCTTTATATGTTTGTGTTTGCCCTGTGTGTATCGTAGTGAGCGTGTGCTGGGTGTAGTAAACAGTGAGGGTCTTCATGACCCAGGCCCAGTCCGGTGGCCCCTGGCCCTGTGCCTCCTGGCTGCCTGGATCATCGTCTTCCTGTGTATGCTCAAGGGCATCCGCAGCTCTGGCAAGGTGAATCAACACAATGTTTAAACTTCAGCTCACAAATTACACACAATCCTGATCTTTGCTTCCATGTCATGTCGGCCTAATTTGTGTTTGTGTTGTCTGCGTTTTCGTGTTTTCAGGTGGTTTATGTGACGGCTACCATCCCATACATTGTGCTCATTGTTCTGATCATCAGAGGTGCTACGCTGGAGGGCTCTCTTCAGGGCGTTGCTTTCTACCTCACACCAGACTGGGCTCGATTGGCTAATGCACAGGTACTTCTGGTGGCCCATATGAGGCTATGAACACACTGCTGTGTTGCTGCTTCAGTAACAACTATAGACATTCACATTTCTGCCTGATACATTGCAGGTGTGGAACGACGCAGCCTCACAGATCTTCTACTCCTTAGGTATTGGAGTAGGGGGGCTGCTTTCTATGGCCTCTTACAATAAGTTTGACAACAACGTCATCAGGTGAGTTTGTGCTCAGCCGTACCATTTTCTCTGTTGTTGCTGTTTGCTTGTTTCAGTCTCTTAATCCTTGGTTCTTTTTTATTTCAGGGACACTTTGATTATCACCACTGGAAACTGTGCCACCAGCTTCTTTGCAGGATTTGCTATATTCTCAATCCTGGGTCACATGGCATGGAAGAAGGGAGTGCCTGTCGCAGAGGTGGCAGATTCAGGTAGTTACTGTGCTCATTTTGTTCAGTAATCCTGTGGCTCTTTAATCCAAACATCTGAAGGACTGCATTTTTTAAAGATCTTCACATTATAGAACTTTCTCATGACCAATTGAAAATAAAACTGATAATGGGGTTAATGTGTGATATTTTTGTATCATTTTTAAAAAAATACTACATATTATTAAATATTACAGAGCAGTTGGGAAGTAATTTTTAATGGCAACAGATTCTTTGAACAACTTAATTACTTCAATGAATGCTGTATATGGTATTAAACGACTATGTCATGCATATATGGCTTTCTTGAATTTGATGTATTCTTATTTTGCCTTCAGGTCCTGGGTTGGCCTTCGTTGCTTACCCAGAGGCCCTTGCTCTGCTGCCAGGCTCAGTGTTCTGGTCCATTATATTCTTCATCATGCTCTTTATGCTGGGGATCGATACATTGGTAAGGCCACACGCTACACAAAGATATGAGCAGAAATAAAGACATACGAGTGTGCCTCCATGTGATTGATACCTTCTGCTCTGCTGCTTTACAGTTTGGCAACATGGAGGGCATCACTACGGCTGTGATGGATGAGTTCCCACACCTCAGAGTGAACACGCTGCACAAGTCCTTGTTCTTAGGCACTCTGTGTTTTGGCTTCTACCTGATGGGTCTCCTGTTAGTGACAGACGTGAGTGTGTTTTTAACGAACTGTAGTAGGTGAGCAAACACGGCTACAAATGCATCCTCTCTGTGACCAATTTCACATTTCCCATTGCTGTCTGTGTCTTCACAGGGTGGGATTTACTGGTTCACTCTCATTGACTCCTTCAGCACTAGTTTTGGCCTCATCATCATCGCCCTGTTCATGTGCATTGGCATCTCCTTCTTCTATGGTAGCCCATCTCTCACCCCTAACCTTCACATCAAACCCCTCTAACACCATATCATTCCTCCATATGATCAGTACTTCCAGGAAACGTGATGTTTAGCAAGTTGTGAAAGAAGAGTCTTGACTTGCTGTTGTGAACGCTGCATAGCAAATCCACTTTCCATTTTACAACTGTATGTATTTCGAGCATACAGCTACATATTCACCATTTTGTTTTTGTTATGCTGTGTTATTCCCGAAAATATCTTTGTTATTCCAGGATTCCTAATATGCATCTCTTAATGCACTTTTGTATTAGGAGTAAACCAGTTTTGTCAAGACATTCTTGATATGATCTGCCACTGCCCTCCCTGGTGCGGCAAAGTGCTGCTTTACTTCAAAGCATGCTGGATTTTCTTCACTCCGTTTATTCTGCTGGTAAGTGAATGCATCAGTATTAATAGTTATAGGTACAATGTGACATCAGCATTGGTTATACATAATTAGTATGACAAATGCTTTTCAGAATATACTAAACTTCCATAAATACAGCTGGCTTGTTGTGTTATCTGACATATTTAACTAAAATGCACTGAAGTTGGTAGGTTTTTGAAGTTTTCAAGGTTGCTTTGTTAGATTGTTCAAATCACTGGTTTTGTTGTTGGATTGAAATCAATACAGCTGCTATGTTCTACCTCAAACTAAAAAATTCCTTGCTTGCTTGTTTTGAAGTGAATGAGAAGCAGTCAAAATGTATTACGTGAGTTTAGAAGCATGATAGTAAGACTTAATATGAAGTTAAGTATGTCCAAGTAATGACCTTTACTGCCAGCTGAAATCCTGAGTTAAAGCTCATGTTATAGCCTTACAGTATTGTTGGTCTGTATCAGTTGCCCTGTATCAAATGCACAGTCCATATTGTCACTCTATTTAATGTATCTGCTCCTCTTATCACCTGAAACTGAATAACCATTTGCAGTAAGGCTTATAGATATAGAAATAGCCATTTGATGCCACGTTTTATTGTAAGGTATTGTAGCACTTAAGTCAAAGGGTAATTTGATGAGACACTGTGCTGTCTCAGTGAGTTAAATTTCCCATTAAATTAATGTATGATAATTCAGTTATTAACTGTTACAAAAGCTCCACTAAAGAAACAAAAATAACATAATTACTTTGACATGTAGCCAACTGTGCTGAAATCTTCACAGTCACAGTTTTGAATAATTCAAGAGGAGAAGGCAACATTCAATCAGTTTCCCCGTAGCATTTCTCCACTAGCCTTCTCAGTCCCTTTTCTTATGTTGCCATTGTGGCTTTTTGTTTGAATGAAACATTCCTCTCCTCACTTTGTGCCTTTCCCCTTGCGGCTGTAGTTCATCCTGACCTACATCTTCATTGAGATGTACAACACATCACTCCAGTACGGGTCCTATGTGTATCCACGGTGGGGTAAAGCGTTGGGCGTGTGCATGGCCGCGACCTGCTGTCTACAGATCCTCATCTGGGCCATTGTGGCCATCTCCAAGGAAACGGGAACACTGAAAGACGTCAGTATCACCACTTTATCATTCTGTCACTGTTAGGTCCAGTTACACCTCTGCCATGGTCACACCAACCGTGCAGCTCAAACGGATCGTCACTGCTGTACTTGTTTAAATATGTAACATTGGTAGATGAAATGTCCTGTGCAGGAGGGTTCAAGACTGTCTTTGCTTCTTTTCGCAGCGTTTCCAGAAATGCATTCAGCCTCTGAATTCCTGGAGAGTAAACAACTTGAACAGCACTGAGAGAGTAGAGGAGCGTGTAGAGGCCGAGAGAGTGGACGCTCCGTTCACTGTCACTCTCACAGACATGGACTTTACTGCGATGGCGTGGGAGACTGGAAGCGAGGCATGACAGCACGGAGAGCAGTGATGAACGCACAGTGATAGGAAATTTACGTTGTCAAGAGATAGAGGAATTTATTATTATGGTATTGGCCCCAGCTAGGTTCTGGTGGCTGTGTCTGAACAGACGGTGTCCTGCAGGGCGGTGTGGAATAATTCCTTTATTTACTATTATGTACTTTTTTCAAACTTTTTTTTATGTTGTGTAGAATATAAGGTTACGGCTGTAAAGTTTGAATCATCTTCATCTTAGATGGCATAGTTGGACTCTACAGGACTTTTGGATGGTGATGATCCTGCAGTGTATCTGCTGATCTTATTTATTGTCATAGGAGCGTAGAATAATGTATTTTCAGTGACAGAGGTCAACAGCGGCTGAGGGACTAGATTCCGTTGATTGCATACAAGGAGGGACAAAAAGTGCAGTGACTCTTGACTGTTACCTTCAACAACCTCTAATGGACCCGGAGAGGTGACTACAAATCCTCAGCCTGCCAGACGAAATGGCAATGATGACTCAGCCGCACAGAGTCAGGAATACTTTTAATTCATCTTACTATTTAAAATGAACATTTGCTAGAATAAATAAATAAATTTACAAAAAACTTGCCAAATGAGCTATTAAGTACTGTCTTGTATGTCTATATGATAGTAGACACTATCTGAGATGTCTTGTCTGACATTGCTGCATTTCACATTGCAAGTTGCTTCAGAAAATGCAGTGAGAACTGTTACAGAGAACTTTGTTGCTCAGAATATGTTGACATTAACAACAACACATTCTGGTATTGCAGCAAAGCTTTTAAATGTGACCTCAAGACGTTTCTAAATATCATTTGTTATTTTTAAGGGGGGAAAGTGCGATAGGATTCACTGGGTATTAACACATAGGTTTTAGTGTTTTATGTTTACTAGAACTTGGCTTTGACAGTCCATTGTTTATGTCCGCTATTGCTATTGATTAGCAGAAAGCCCTTCTTAAGTCAATGTTTATTATCAGTAAAATTTATCGTCCTTCTTGGGACATGATTATTGTCGTGGTATCAAGCTTGCTAACATTTCTCACAACTTTCTGAGGGTGCAAATGTTTCTCTGATTTAAGGGGCCCGCTTAGAGAAGACTTAAAAATCAGTTGTTGTTATTTATCGTCAAATTGGTCACACTGCTTAATTCATGAACATTATTGGACAATCAGATTTACTAGATAAGACAGCTCACTGGTCTTCTGAATGTGTTGTTTATCTTAAAGTGAAATAGATTGTCCTGGGTAAATAACATTTGTAAGCCATACTAGTTGCACTTGGACTGATGTTTTAATATGGTCTTAGATGGTTTAATTTGGGCTAACTGATGGAAATTCCCAACCATTTTCCAGGCTGTTTACTTAAACTGTTGTATCCTGTTACAAATAAGTAGATGATGACAGATAAAAGAAATCTGTGATTTCTGTATTTTTAAACCCTTTCAGTCTCATGAAACTTTTAATTTTGTGCGCATTTATAAATAGGGTCAGTTTTCTCTTTCAAAGCATCTTAAGCAGATCACTACTTTTAAAACCTTCAATTATGAAGATTTCATTATTCCTTCTTTTCGGATTGTATGCCACATGATGGAACTCCTCAAGTTTTAACTCATCTGTTTGCCTTTGTACACCTTGTTGCCATTATTTTGCTGTGCATAATGATTAAATATTCTCATTGTCCTCTTATCTGAATATAACTATTCATTTATTTTGTTTAGATATGTTTCCTTGAAAGATGAAAGCTTTATTTCAAACTGAGAGAGCAGTTTACCTATACAGTAGAATATTAGTTTTAAAACAAACATGTTCCTAATGATCCTAACAGTCAGTTATGTGGTGGCCTCAAACCTTAGTCATTTGACATTACAATATGTGAATTTTACCACAAGAGGGCAATGGTTGCACCAAGATTAGGGTGCAGGATAGGAACATTTAATCCAGGGTCGTCAACTAAAACGTCATATTTGCTGTCTCTTTTATGTGAAAGATAACAGTGGCCAAAATGAATTGATTGTATGGGTTAATGGACAATGCTAAAAGGGTGTGTTCCCTTGGTAAGTGACAAAAGTTAAGACATCTTAAAAGAAGTGAAAGCAGACAAATACCCACAAGGTATAAATAAACAGTGAAATGGGGGCACAGGAGGAATAGAATAAACATAATGCACGATCTACATCTAATAACTATACAGCTACATTAGATAAGCTGAAATGATGAGTGGGTTGTGTACTTTCTTTACACGGTACTTCGCAGTAGATGAACCCTTTTAAGTCACCTGGACGGCGGGATAAATGCTAAGGAGCGGATGTTGCGTAGATCTTTTCCCGCGTTTTCATCTCGTGAGCTTGGGTTAGTTCGTTTGTGGTGTGTCACGTGATCCCGGTGAACGTATCAAGCGCTTTATCGTCACAGAGAGTTTAACATATATATGAAGCCATACACCTGCTATCTAATGTAAGTGTCAACATCACTGGGCTTAAACAGAGACATATTATCAGAAACCCCAGTGAGCCGGTTAGTATTGACGGAGTTGTGAACGCTGACTGTGAGGGGTGGCTGACAGTGGAGACACCGGGCACACCGGTGGCTTGCCGCCGCGCACTTCGGCAATACAAAACGAACACCCACTTGACCACGGTTTCAGGAAGTCAGTCAGGTTTTATTGTATTGTTGCCACGGAACTCCTTCAGTGGGCTTTAAACGTAGTAAACCAAATTTGTTCAAAACATAGTTCTAATTTTAAATATTATATTTGCCTGTTAAGTAAGCAGATAAGAAGATGCCACCTAAAAAGCGCAACTCTGTGACTACACAGAACAAGGAGCTGAAGTCCGGTGCTGAAAGTCCAGACAAGAAGGAGAGTCCTGAGTTATCTGTGAAAAAGTAAGAGAACTTGTGTTATAACTTATGTCCTCATTGAGGTATCAGCGGTCTATCAGCAGTCGTTAGTTACTCTGTAAAATGTGTTTACACTGTAGTCTAATGTTTAGCTAGTTTGTGCTGGTATTTTACTCTTGCTAGCTAGCTGATGTGACTAACCGTTGACAAACTAACGTTAGCTAGCTGCTTCAGACGAAGTCAGGCCTGTATTTACAGCTAATGCCAGTGAGTTTTAACGTCTCTTAACCCTAAACAAGTGGCCACGGAGTGTAACTGCTCAGTAACAGATGTAACATGAGATGTAAAGCACGCATACTATCCATGTCTGACCGTAACAGTCAGTGAAGCCCTGCGCTGGGAGGCTGTCATCGGTGCAGTGCGTTTTGATGTGCTGAAACTGTGTTTGTGTTCACCATGATGCTGATTTATTGCCTCCATCCTCTAGACACAGAGACAAGGATGCTGGGTTTGTGACCCTGTGTAAGAGCCTTCATGTGACAGACCTGGTGTGTGACCGCGCCTGGACGCTGTGGAAAACTGTTCAAGAGTCTATGGATGAAGTCACTGTATGTGTGTGTTTTATATATATTTATATATATATATAAAAGCTGTCCTGTTATGGATGTTGTATTACTCTATTTGAAAAGTATCCCATTTGGAGATGCCCCACTTACAGTTTGGTCAGAATAAAACTCTGTGTCTGCCGTGCTTTTAGAAAATCTTTCTTAAATTTGCCTTACAATGGGAAAACAAGGATAAAATAAAACTAAAATGTTTTATCCTGTTTCATTAGTTGTGGAAAAGCACAAAAAAATGTTGACCGCTGTGTAGTTTTTGCCTTTTAACACTAGCTGAGTACTGTATCAGAAATTGCCTCGTGTGCAAATACAGTCACTGCTTTTGGAAGGAGCTGTAGATAAAAAGCTGCTCACTGATATTTATTATAAATAGTTACTTTTACACACCTGGTGAAAGGAGAGCACTGCCCATTGTTGGCAGACAGATGTCTCATATCCCACTGTGACAGGTTTTATGTGATGTTGAATGTAAAATTTTGGCTCAATTAGAGCTGCCTTTACTTGTACCAAACTTGTCAGTTTATACTAATCTGGTGTGTAGCAGTGAGTATGTGTGATGCTCTGGGCATGTTGTGGTTGAACACAGCTTTGGGAAATTGCAGCTTTACTGCAGTTTTTAAAGTCAAGCTCGTCATTATCACGCAGTCCAAATGCTATTTCAGTTTTCTTTGTAACTGTAAATTTAAAAGGTCTATAATAAAGGTGAAACTAACAGATCTGTTGGATTTTGGTTTTCAGTCCTCTGGATAATAAACATTCCTCATCAGACCTTCATAATTATTGATGTCAGTGATCAAAAATGCAAAAAAAAAAAAGCATGTTATGTGTTTTAAACATTGTTCTTTATGCATTTCATTTCAGGACACTCAGAAAAGGCTGTGGGGGGCTTGTCTGTTTGTGTCAGCGACAGACATGGATGTCACTTGTTTCACCTTAACTCAGGTTTTGAAAGCAGTCAATCTGAAGTAGGTGCTCTCCATACATGATGCATGCTACTAGAAAACACTCCTTGGCACTCATAGTGCAACTTCCCTAATCGCATTAATACATGTAATATATATTTGAAGAGCCAATGATTTGGATATTTTTTTGTTTGTTTAAATTTTTTTTTCAGATTGATTTGTTTTTTGTACTACTTCAGTATGCCTTCTGTAACATACAGTTGATGTCAAGTTAAAATCTATCAGATGTCTTTCTTTACCTCTGTGGTCTTTGACGCAGACTGTGAATCTGAACCCTTGGTGTGGTTTTTATAATTTTATCCTTAATTGTTCAGTTTTATGCAGTTTATTTTTACATTTGATCTTTCACACAAATTCATCCTTTTTTTTTGTGTAGCGTAAAGCAGTTTTTAGCTCTGGTGAGGAAGTTGGATGTGAACTTGGACACTATAAGCACCAAGGTTAATTCAGCACTGATGCGACTGGAGAAGAAGTATGATGTGACGCTGGCTCTCTACCAGAGGTTTGAAAAGTGAGTGAAAACACCAACACAGTACGTGTGCCTGATTCATGTAGACCTGTTCAGGGCAAACTTGTGATTGATATTTGTTTTTGTTTTCAGAACATGCAAGAAAATCTTTGCTTTGGTTTCTGATGGCAAGTAAGTTTGAAACTCAGATCTAGTGAAATGTACGTGTTATACCTAGTGCATGGTTAATGGTTCAGTGTCTCTTTTCCAAGGGACAGGGAGACCATGCGGAGCTGCTGGACAATGTTTCTTTTGGCCAAAGGTAGGTTAAGTCTTTTAACACATTAACAACAACAAAAACAAGTAGATCAAGCTGTTTACACACTTGCTGGAGTAGTTTTCGCATGGCTGCATTTTCTTCTTACCATCCTTCCTGCCGCCCTAGTGCTCAGCCGTAGAGCTCAAATGAAAGGGAAAATCTTTCTACTTGTGGTCAAAGTTCTGTTGTTTCCAGTGCGCAGCAGTAGTATTGTGATGATGCTTCTCATGTGTCTGCAGGAAGGGTCTTGCAGATGGAGGATGACCTGGTCATATCATTCCAGTTGCTGCTTTGTACACTGGAGTTATGCATCAAGCGCTGCCCTCCAGACCTTCTACAGCCTCTTTACAGTAAGTTTCAGTACCACTTACTTTAATCTGTCTTTGTTTAATAAACTTTTGTGACTTGTCATTGTACAGTCTGAAAGTGTGAAGTCAAATAATTTGAAAAATGATATTTTCTTAAAAACGTGTGCATAGTACAGTATAGTAGTATATCTGTCGGTCATGTTTTCCAGCAATGGAAAACAGAATCTCAACTGCAGCTCATCTGTCATAGATTACTGTTTACGGCTCCCAGAAATGTATTAACCCTTATTAAATGTTTTTTTGTTTCAGAATCAGCTATCAGCAAAGTTCAGAGCCCACCGACACGAACATCTCGTCGGAACCAGAGCAAAGCCAAATCCCGACCTCCGGAGCCAGAGGTGGATTTGCAGCTTCTGAAAACCTTGTGCAATGAGAATGAATGCAATGCAGAAGAGGTCTGAGTCCCCCTCTTTGTGTAGTTCTTAATTATTATACAAACACATTTCTGTTCCATCTGCTCTGTGTGTATTTGTCCTCATTGGCTCTCTGTGCATTTTCAGGTGAAGAATGTATACCAGACCAGCTTCTCTGCTTTCCTGGACTCACTGGATCTTTCACGATCTCCTGATTTTCCTCAGGTAGGGGGGCAGTTGTTACAGCACCTGCTCTACTGTTTGGCTTCACTGTCACTGTTCAATGATTGAGTGCCTGACAGCTGTTGGTTGTTTTCTTTGTGCTCATACGTGTGTGTTTTCACATACATGGTGTCAGGGAAATGTGTACTCAAGCAGGGAATCATTTTGAGAGTGTAGGGTACTATACAGTCATATGCAAAAGTTTAGGCACCCCTGACAATTTCCATGATCATTTATAAATAATTAGGTGTTTTGGATCAGCAATTTAATTTTGAGCTATCAAATAACTGAAAGACACTATATTTCAGTATTGGATGAACAGAAAATGTGCAGCATGCATCAAAAGGAAATTAGACAGGTGCATAAATTTGGGCACCCTTGTCATTTTGTTGATTTGAATACCTGTAACTATCTAGCACTGATTAATTGAAACACACAATTGGTTTGGTGAGCTTATAAGCCTTCATAGATCGCTACATCCAAACATGAGAATAGGTATTTAAGGTGGCCAATTGCAAGTTGTTGTTCTCTTTGACTCTCCTCTGAAGAGTGGCAACATGGGGGGCCTCAAAACAACTCTCAAATGACCTGAAAACAAAGATTGTTTAACATTATGGTTTAGGGAAAGGCTACAAAAAGCTATCGCAGAGATTTAAGCTGTCAGTGTCCACTGTGAGGAACATAGTGAGGAAATGGAAGACCACAGGCACAGTTCTTGTTAAGGCCAGAAGTGGCAGGCCAAGTAAAATATCGGAGAAGCAAAGGCGAAGAATGGTGAGAACGGTCAAAAACAGCCCACAGACCACCTCCAAACACCCACAACATCATCTTGCTGCAGATGGTGTCACTGTGCATCGTTCAACAATTCAGCACACTTTGCACAAAGAAAAAGCTGTACGGGAAAGTGATGCGGAAGAAGCCTTTTCTGCACACACGCCACAAACAGAGTCACTTGAGGTATGCAAATGCAAATTTGGACAAGTCAGCTTCATTTTGGAAGAAGGTCCTGTGGACTGATGAAACAAAGATGGATATTTGGTTATAACAAGGGGCGTTATGCATGGCAGCAAAAGAACACAGCGTTCCAAGATAAACACTTGCTACCCACAGTAAAATTTGGTGGAGGTTCCATCATGCTGTGTGGCCAGTGCCGGTACTGGGAGTCTTGTTAAAGTTGAGGGTTGCATGGATTCCACTCAATATCAGCAGATACTTGAGAATAATGTAGAGGAATCAGTAAAGTTGAAATTATGCCGGGGCTGGATATTTCAACAAGACAACGACCCAAAACACTGCTCAAAATCTACTCTGGCATTTATGCAGAGGAACGAGTGCAATGTTCTGGAATGGCCATCCCAGTCCCCAGACCTGAATATCATTGAAAATCTGTAGGGTGATTTGAAGCGGGCTGTCCATGCTCGACAACCATCAAACCTAACTGAACTTGAGATGTTTTGCAAGGAAGAATGGTCCAAAATACCTTCATCCAGAATCCAGACACTCATTACAGGCTATAGGAAGCGTCTAGAGGCCATTATTTCTGCTAAAGGAGGCTCAACTAAATTTTGATGTGATATTTCTGTAGGGGTGCCCAAATTTATGCACCTGTCTACTTTCGTTGTGATGCATATTGCACATTTTCTGTTCATCCAATAAACCTCATTTCACTACCGTGTCTTTCAGTTATTTGATAGCTCAAATTTAAATTGCTGATCCAAACACCCAATTATTTATAAATAAAAATTATGGAAATTGTCAGGGGTGCCTAAACCCCTGAGGCAGGTATGAAAACAACAAAGACAGGATGCCATTGTTTGCTGACACAACACACTCCTCCTCCGAAGGATCCTGGACAAATATATTTTACTGTTACAGTAGCCTAGGAACAGACAGGAGGTACACATTATTTAAGTAAGGGTCTTATGTAAATAATAAGTCTCATCACTAGGTCTGATCTGACCAATGAGAGGAGCCTGAGTAAATTGAAAAAACAAACATTTTTAGCGAGACGTTATGCCAGACTTGTTTATAGCACAGATGTGTCTGTCTGGGCTGAATGTAGTTGGAGCCTTGCTTTATTTCAGACATGTATGTTTATTTATTTTTTTTAAGATTAAGATCTGATCAGATACAGAGAGATGTGGGCATGGTTGCAATCATACAATCTTTAGATAAGTGTAATTCTGGTGTAGGGCTGCTTAATTTGTTGATTTATTTTCTCGATTTAACCATTTGATTTGGTCTGACAATTTATAGGTGTTGAAAAATGTCAGTGTTTTTCAGAGCTTAAGATGAAGTCCTCAAGTGTCTTGTTTTGTCCACAACACAAAGATATTCAGTTTACTTTTTACAGAGGTAAAAAATATTCACATTTAAGAAGCTGGAATTGGGCAATGAGAGAATTGACTTTTTTCTTAAATTACTCAAACTGATTAATCGGTTAGCAAAATAGATTCAATTAATTGTTGCAGCTCTATTCAAGTGTAATGAGGACCATTGTGTTTTGTAGTGTGAGATGGCTGATGCACAATGCAGCAATAATGTAACACTGAAAGGAACCAGACAGAGCTTTTTGTTTTTGATAAGTTTGTAAATTTTAGTGACTGAACTCTTTGATCTCCGTATATTGTGCACTGTACCTGTTCATTTTAACAATCTTCCATATAGTTAATGCAAAGTGGGGCACAGTGATGGTGTTTAATTCTGGATGTAGGAAGGCACTCAACCTTTATTTTTCAACACAGGTTAATGACCTCAACCAACAATATGAAGATTTCTACCTCAAGAGTAGAGACTTCGATGGACGGCTGTTTTTTGATGGAGATGAGACCATTCTTGCCCCTAAAGTTGAGATGTAATTTCTTCGCCATTCAGTATTTTAATGTTGATCGAACTGATCTGTTAGAAATTAAAAGAAAAGTGCTAACTAATCTCTTCCTGGATTCAGATCGCAGGTGGAGAGAACGCCAAAGAAGAACATGCCAGACGAAGATGCTGTACTTATCCCTCCCCAGACTCCAATCAGGTGAGCAGTAAGCAGCCTGTTCTTCATTGGTTACCCAGAGGAGAAGGACTAAGTACTTTTTATTTATTTATTTTTACACGTGCAGATTTGAAGCTTCTCACCTGGGTGTCTGAATACACTGTTGGATGTATCGGGTGAATTTAGGAGTTATTGTAGTGAATGTTTATATTTGTTAAGGACTGAAAAGCAGTAGAAAGTGTTTATGACAAAAAAATATTTTTTACACATGCAAAGTACTGAAAAAAATTTAACTATATGATATAGTAAATTACAAACTAATCACAGGTGGTGTGAAAAGTTGACAATAAATGAGGAGTTTTGATAATTGTTTACTTTAAAATTTTAAATCAACATGATACCTATAAAATGTTAGTTAGCATTAATTAAATGTGTATATGTATCCATCAATGGAAAACCAAACATTGGATATTCTGAGATTTCTTGTACTGTGTGTTACTGGGCATATTTCATTGTGTTTATTGAGTTTATGTCTGAGTCCATCCTCCAGCACTCTCTGATGTTTGATTTTGTCTCATCAGAGCTGCCATGAACTCGATTCAGCAGTTGAGGGGAGATCTCCCTTCCAGTGGGGACCAGCCATCTACTAACTTGGCTACATACTTCAAAGTGGGTCTTCAGAAGTTTTGCCACTAATTAAAATGTTCCGTGAAGCTGTTAATGCACTACATTAATTTGACGTATTTCTATTTTTCTTCTGTCCTGTGATCAGAATTGCACCGTGGATCCGACGCAAGACATGTTGAAGCGTTTAGAGACACTCGGACAGGTGTTCAGCCAAAGGTTTGGTCAGGCAGTTGGCCCGCGCTGTGTCGTACTTGGCAGACAGGTGTGAACTAAATGCTCAAGAGGACAGTGAGCAACAATGGCAAAACTTGCTAGGCTCAAATAATTTTATGTCTGTTTTTTTTCAGAGATTTACCCTCGGTGTCAGACTGTATTACAAAGTCATGGAGGCGATGCTGAAATCGGTAATCGACTTGTTTGATTTTATTATAAATGTATTTTTCAAGTTTAAAATTTTTATTGTTAATTTATTGGGCTGGGCACGTTAACGCATTTATTAATTAAAGCCGACAATGATCGCGCGTTAACGCAGTTTTTATTTGTATTATTTTGAAAGTCCGTTGCTCTGAATACACATACAGTGAAATCATGGGTCACAGGAGGGGCGGGATGTTGATCAGCCTGCAAATCACCCACCCAAACAAGCAGTGGAGGGAGGCTTCGGCAGACTACGCTGGGAGAAGTAGATAAACAAAAGCAAGACAGCGATCAAATGCCATAGCTACTCACTGCATGCTGATTAGTATTGGGGAAGATATCAGTCTAAGGAATGTTCTTAAATTAACAACGTAGTCGCTTGGCCCCGCAGGGAGAAAGCGCTCCGCGAGTAAACGGCAGGTGCTCTATGGATAGTAACCAAGGCAAAGGCTTTTGTGTGCTACACAACTGTTGCATATTTAACTTAAGTTAAAATTATACGTAACTTTACCTGATAGGCCTTCATCTAGTTTTTTAGCTCTGCCATGCAAATTCCCTCCTGTTGTCTTATTTAGTAAACAGTAATAGATTCTGGAAACTCAAAAAACAGCGAGCATCAGTCTCTCTTCCAATAATTTGTGTTGCATGTCTCGTACAAAAAGTTCAAGACAATTCAACTTTGCTGGCGAGCGTGTGTGTGTGTGCGTGCGTGTGTGCGTGAGGTGACCACTTCACCTCATTCTAACAGGCACACTTGCTACTGAACATAGACGGTTTCTGCTGCTCCCTGATAAAAGAAAAATGTTTCTGCTGATTCCTATTCAGAAAAAAACAAAACAAGAAAATGTTAACCTGTTGCTCAGAAAGGTGCCTGTAATGATGTTATGATCCTGGCTCTGCACTCTTAACAAGCTAGATAAAAAGTAATGCCCTGGCAGTGGCAAATAGCTTTGGGTTTATATTTGATTAATGTTTAAGTTGAGATTTACAAGAAATATATTATTACTACTGTTTAAAGGGAATATTGCTGGTAAAAGCACCTTATTTGTTTAAAGAGTTTACAAACCACATGTGTTGCACTTTTGTGTACATTGCAGTACATTTAAATTAAAAGTGCGCAATACACTACTTTAGAAGTCATTATTCAATTTTGCGCGTGACTATGATCCGATTAATCGCATGATTTTCTGCGATTAATTCTAAATATTATCAAGAAGTTTTTTTTTCACTTTGTATGCCCTTATAACTTTTGTTTATATAACTCATACTCATGTTATTTTTCCTCTAAATAATCAAAAGCTTTTCATTTCGCAGGAAGAGAAGCGACTGTCTGTGCAAAATTTCAGGTGTGTGTTTTTCTGGGGAATTATGAAGCTAGTCACTTGTGGTTGTTTTTACTTGTGCGTGCATGCTTTTTGTTGTTTTAATTGTAAGTGAAGCAGTTATTTATAGTGAAGCGTTATTTACCTTTAGCTATCTGATTTCCATTGCAGTAAACTCCTCAATGACTCTACTTTCCACACATCACTTTTGGCCTGCGCTTTAGAGGTGGTCATGGCAACATATGGAGGTGTGTCCCATAATGTGCTAACAACAGATGCAGTTACAAATCTAAAATAATTGTATTCTTAAAGTTATAAGTAATACAGGTTAATGTTTACGCTTCTTGTAAATGTGCAATGAGTTCTAATAATGTTGTTTGCTACTCGTGTTTAGAGAGCAGTTTTAAGACTGGAGGATACAATTGTGGTGGGGGTAGCAGTGGTTGTGACCCAGCAGAAACAAATGTGTGTTTCCCCTGGATACTGGATGTGGTCAACCTCGCCGCCTTTGACTTCTACAAAGTCATCGAGAGTTTCATCAAGGCCGACCCCACTCTGAGCAAAGACATTGTCAAACATCTGGAGACCTGTGAGAACCTTATCATGGAGAGGATTGCATGGAGGACGGTCAGTTTTTTTGTGTGCTAGTATTGATGTTGCAGCATTTTAATGAGAGTCATGCATACACAAGATAAAGACACATAGACACTGTAAATATATCAACATTATATTTCATGGCCTGTGAAAGAAAAAATAAGTAGATTAAATTTTTATTTTTTTTTTTACTACAGTTCAAGAATAATATAATTCATCAGTATTTCACAAACACATTGAAGTTGTGTTGACAAAATACACTGAACAAAAGAACTAAGCTGACAAAGTGCTTCTTAGCATTACACTGAACGTCACACTATGTGCACAAAAGTGAATACACACAACCTGTTCAACCTAATGCAATTCATGCAAAAATAAAGATTACATAATTAACACATACAAAGAAGTTGTGAAAAGTGCTCACAGTATGAATAGTGTATGTTTTTTTAATATATAAAAGAAAGAGCCTCTTTCAGTAGTGGTGTGAGATGATCCATGTCATTTAATGCCACTGCCTCCACCACCGGGCACCTCCCTGTGCATCAGGCTGCTGGAGAAGTAGTAGATGAGTGGGTTGAGGCAGCAGTTGGAGCTTGCTAGTGATAGCACCACAGGGTGCATGGCCTTGGTCACCTTGGCCAGGCCACAATGGGGCAGCAGTCCCATATGTGTGAGGGTATATCCCAGGAGGTTGATGTGATAGGGGACGAAGCACAGCAGAAAGACGCCCAGCACCCAGTAAATAATTGTGAGAGTGTGCTGACGGCTACGCCGCTGGTTGCTGGAGCGGTGTCTTGGCTGGCGAAGCACACTCAACACTCTGCAGTAGCTGTAGAGAAGTAGCACAGTAGGCAGCAGAAATGACCCTAAGACTAAACCAAAAGAGCTACCATGATGACTCTGCGGTTGTGTTGCGAGGACGGTTCCAGCAGACAAGGCTGGTGTTGGCGAGCAGCTGCAAAGTGCAGCAGAGGCAGACTCACACTGAACCCCAGCACCAGGCACCAGATCCCCCCACTCACCAGCTGTGCAACACGCAGCCTGCGGAGTGTTGATGCCAGAGGGTGCACTACAGCAAAGTAACGGTCCACAGCAATACACACCAGGAAGAAGATGCCCCCATACAGGCTGATGTATTTGAGGGTGAAAGTGAGGTGGCAGTATGTCACCCCAGGAGTCCAACTGGGCGGGTCTCCTGTCCTTGAGGACAAGGCTCTGGCCTTTTGGTGGTGGTAGTAGATTCTCAGGGGTAGAGAGATTACAAAGAACAAGTCGGCAGCTGACAGGCTGACCATGTAAATGGCTGTACTGTTCATGGTGCAGGGAGATAGACACAGTCTGCGCAGAGCCAGGCTGTTGGTGGCCAACCCCAGCAGGAAGATGACACTGTAAGACACTTGATAAAAGGTGAAGCGGTAGCTGGTGTCCACAGTGCAGTTAGACTGATGTGAGAATGGCTTTGCTGTCATATTCCACAGCTCCATGTCCCAAAATGATTTGATGCTCCAACACTTCACTGTGTGCCTCTCATATCCCGAAGGAAATTAGATTGGTTGAAGTGAACATAAGGTGGGAGGACGGAACATGTCCAGTTGTCTCTGCAGGAGCAGTTAAACCTGTGACAAGTAAAAACTTAATAAACTCAAAATGTCTCCTCTTTTATAGAATGTAAATTTGCTGAGGTGACATCAATACAGTAATACAGTTAACATAGCTGAATTAATATTTGAAATGCAGAACGACAGTCGATGCTCGCAATAAAGTTGTAACTGCAACTTCCTGCTTTCATAAAACAGGCAAACATTTGGTTTCATTACATGCAGATAGCAGGCAAAGAAGCCACACAATGTAATACCATTGGCCTGCAGTAAATACACATTTAGTGACGCTCATAAAGTTCATCTGTTGTTGAGATTGTCAGAGGTGTTAATTTAAATTTGTAGTGTGTAAGGGAGGGTCTGAGTGTAAGAACTCTTTCCTAATGCATTTTTCCTGTGTTCAGTATATGTCGGCATGATTTTTGGGACTTGTACCTGTGTCAGTTTTAAATTTCCTTTTTTGTGACCAATTCACCGGGCACTTCTCTACACATTCCAGTCACAAAATGACCATTGAGTTTATTTGAATCAGTAATAATGACTGGTGAATTAAAAGAGACCACCCACTATTATCTTACTTTCCCCTTGAAACACCGCTTGGGTTTGTCACATGACTCCGCCCTGTCCAGTTCTGCTCAGCCTTCAGACCAGAATCTAGAGCTCGGGGAGATGTTAGCTAGCGCTAACCGCCCTCACCTTCCAGTAGTTGTGGAAACAACAGACAGACTTTTATTAACTGACGCACAATGACCTATACCGTACATTTACCGGCAGACTAACAATTTATTACTCTCTCGCTTTCTCAGACACTTTCTGCCGCTTCTTCCGTCATTCACTCTTCCACTCACTCGCTACGCAAACACATTGCACTTCAGTTAAAGACCTAACTTCTGCTGCTCTTATAACAGCACCTGTCACATAGATGGCCTTTGATGAATGAGGAGAGGAAGCCAGCAAAGTGTGATTTACCATGCTCACACAGTGTGCGGGTGAAAATCATTTGTTCCGCAGTGATATTAAATATTTGAGTGAAAGTTTAGTAGCAGCGGCGATGCGCCGAATAAAGGGGAACTATGTCTCTGTATGTGCATGTCATCATTACCTTTATTAACATTTACATAATGGATTTGTGAAATCTGTGAATAAATAACCCAGCTTTAATAGTTGAGCATATTTACAGTATAAACCTTGTCAGTGAAAAATGAGGGTGGGGGGAAAAAAAAAAAAAAAAAAAAACGGCAGCAAAAAACATTCAAAAGCAAACGTTAAATAATCGTAATCAAGGTGAAATGTTCAATTAATTGTGGTTTTGATTTTAGGTGAAATCGTCACGCCCTAATTCTCAGTTACATGAACAGACATAATTTTTTTGACACTTGATACTACATTTAAAACAGTGCTTTTTCCCCTAGCCCCCACTTTTGTCAGCCATCCCTGATCTTTTCACACTGGATCCCTGATCCTGAAAATGAAACGGTCATGTTTTTTTTTCTACCAAACACTGATAAGATGAGTTAATTGCTGACTTTATTTTATAAAAATGACATATCTTAATCTATATACTGTGCACATATGCACACTTGGTACAACAACAGAGAATATTTAAACAGATAAAATTTCATCACTCACCAGTATCAGGATCTCATCGCTGCAGTGACAGTGAGATGAAATTACCAGTCAGCTGGTGTTCAGCAGCAGGAGACCCTGTTAGGATGCTGCAACAGTGCACATGCTACTGAGTTCACGCCTACACTCACACAGCTCAGGGTCTCTCTCTCCCTCCCCCACTCTCCTACTATCCACGACTTCTTGTGGTTTATTCTCACTTACTGATATTAGCTAATTTTGTCAAAATATTAAGTAAACTTCACAAGTACTGATCACTAGGTTAGCTTAAGGATAGTCTCGTTATCTGTTTTCAACCAAGTAGTTTTCTCATTGTGCTCAATTTTGTGAAAAGCCTTGCAATTAAGATTGTTTCACTACCTTCATGGTGGGAGTCATGTTTATGGCTGCTATTTACGAGTGATTGGAGTTAATCATTAGCTATATTTGTCAGCTAGTTGATGGAGGAATAGCAGTAATTCACCTAAAGAAGGTGTTGTAATCAGATAGCAGTGTATCTTGGGATCAGTGCTCTTAAGGAAGGAAAGGTCAGTGTAGATCTGTCTTTCGACTCTGATGAAAATTTATTTTGTGTCAAAATGTCTTTGCACCTGTGAATAGAAGTATTTCACCACAGCCACACTGATGAACCACACCAACTGAGACATAATTAAAGCATTGTGGAACTAGTTGAGTGCCTGTTTGAATAATCTTAATTTGGAGAATATTGGGCTAAGATGGCATTAAGTATGACTTGGCTACACATCACGTGGCCCTTGAGACAAATTTGAATTAGATAGAAATATATAAATAACACATTGATCATTCAGATGAAGATGTTTTCTCCTGTGCACATAAAAAAATAAATCCCTGTTATGATTATTGTTACAAATGAAAATGGGTGTTATTAAAGTATAGTATAAATGTATTCTTAAATATTCTAAAACATTACAAAGCTATCTGATTATCAAGTCAGCCTGGGTCAGAATGACTTTTTCTGAACAAAACCATTAATCCTGTACAAATATTTGTGGTGGGTGGAGAAGGTCCAGCTTCATCCTGAATGTAAGCGTATTTGTATTGCATATAGTAGTGTAAGGAATCCAAACATAAGCAAAATAAGACTGCTGATTGTTTTGTCTCAATGATGCCAGTTTTAAGTTTGCATTCTGGTTTATTTGCCAGATCTGTTTCAGGATTGCAGCAACCAATACTCTGCTCTGCTCTATCTTGTAAACGTACTTCAGCCTACTTCAAGAGGCATGTTGTCGCTCGTCTGCTTTGCTTTCACAATCCTTCTTGTCAGTACTGTGGTAGTGATGAGTCTATCCTTGGCAGTGCAGACCCTCAGGCTAAGCCTCCCAACAGGAATGTAGTAACATACTTTATATGCGTTCAAATTGCACCATATTCCATTTACACTGTGAGCTGTGTTTTCGCTTTCCTTTTAGTCTACAGGTAACAGACATGTAGTCAGTATTATGTTTTTTTCATCAAACTTAAGTAATTTGCTAACTTTAAAAAAAAATTCCTGTTGTTTTAATATACCTACTATTATTCATCACTAACGACTCCAATTTTGATCAAACACTGCATAAAACACTAAGGAATATTCTAACTCAACATATCTTCATGTTTTTAAATGACCACTTATTTAGATATGGCCATTGACAGTGTTAGTGCAGTGTGGGCCGGTACAATGCAGCTGTCAATGATTGACCACACCTGTAATCTACCTTTTAAAACGTATTGACTGATTGTGCATTCACGTGTATGACTAATCAGTCTCGGCAAATGATTTGGTAGCACCCAAAGAGACTGGCATATGAACAACTGATACCCTGCAATGTGAAATATTTCACAACACCCCAATCTATCAGTAAAGTAGTGAATTTCAAACTCAATCTTTTTTTCCGTTAAGAAGTCTTTTATATGCTTTCAGTATAAGGGGTCAAATCTGTTATAAAACATGCTACTCCACAAAGTACTAAATGCCTAAGTGAGGCCACAACTACACTGAAACTGTACAGTACATAAAAAGAGTAGTAATACTGGTTCAGCATTGCCAGAACTTTCCTTAAGGAGAATCTGCAAAACACTACAGTTATATGTTACAATGTCTTATGTGCAAAAGCTCATACTTATTTGCAGCACCACGCATATCACAATGGCATACACACCTGTCTTTTCCATTAATATACATTATAAACTCATTCAATAATAATTTTCTAACTTGTGTGCTGTGTATTGTCACTTGTCACTGGTATTTATGCTGCAACACACACATGTTTTCTCTTTGACTTGTTCCACCCTTTTATTGACTGGAAAGGGATCAGTCCCAGTCTAAAGTCTTTGTGGTGTCCAGTAGACAAGAAAGTGACTCCTAAGTAACCGCTTGTCTTATCAAGTCAACTCTGCTTCCACCTACGTTCTCTGATTGAAGTTTCACAAGTTTCACCTGCAATATTCACTGAATTATTAAACTTGTCACTAGACTGTAGACTCATTGTTAAACATTTCGGATATCGGGTGAATCCTCAGGGGCAGGGTTATTCGTGTTGTATTTGGACTGCTTTGTGGGCTTTCCGTCTGTAGTCTGTTGAATAGCTTGGCACCGTTGTGCCATACTCTGGACTTGCGTTTGAGGGAGCTCTGAATGGTCTCTGAAGTGAAGTAGTAAATGACTGGATCAAAACAGCAGTTGCTCACTGCTATGCACAAAGCAATGGGGTAGATGGTTCTGACCACATTTTCTATGTAGCAGCCCTTTAGGACATTGGAGCGGACCATAGCATAGAAGATGAGGTTAACATTGTAGGGTATGAAACAGAAGCAGAAGATGAGCAGATGCACAATGATCATTCTCAAGATTTTTGTCTTGTTTAGGTTCCCTCCACGGCTGATAGTTTGGGGTTTCCTCAATGTCCGTAGCACCATGACCGAGCAGAAAACATTGACCATTAATGGAATAATGAAGCCCACAGTCTCAATAAACACCACCACCTTGGAAAGCTTAGCCTCCCACTGTTTTTTGGAGTAATTTTCAAAGCAGAAGTTAGAGGAGTTGGCATTTTTGGGTGAAGTGGTATCCAAAAGGAACCCCGTGGGTATACTTCCACAAAGAACCATCACCCACACTGTACAGCAGGCCAGTTTGGCATTCCTCTTAGTTCGAATTGCTTGCGACCGGAACGGGTGCACAATGGCCAGGAAACGGTCAACACTGATGCAGGTGAGGAAGAGGATGCTGCCATACATGTTTGTGTAGAACAAGGCCACAGAGATCTTGCAGAGCACACTTCCAAATAGCCACTCGCGTTCAATGAAGTAAACAATCCGAAAAGGCAGGCTGAGGACAAAGAGAAAGTCTGAAACAACAAGGTTCATCATGTATGTCGTGGTCTCATTCCGCAGCTTCAGTGTACAGCCAAAAATGTACACAGCCACCAAGTTGAAGATAAGTCCAGCTACAAACACCAGGCTGAAAACCCAGCTATACATTGAGTACTTGAAGTCATCACTCTTGTTGCAATCCGTGTCATCTTGAGTACTGATATTATAAGTGTGAGGGGTGCTATCATACATTTTTGACCAGGCTGATAAGTTTGGAACATTTACAGAGTAAAAAGGTTCGTATACTTGTATCAGTCATAAAAATCCACGTTCAACTTGTTAATCCAGCCATGTGCAGGGAAAATGTTCATTTCATTTGGGTAGGAAAAACAGTCAAAATACTGAAGAATGCTCAGTTTGTGTGGTTTTAAGTTACGAAATACTGAGAAAGTATACAGCAACTCCACAAAATACCTGTATTAGTATCCAAAGTTTCTGTATGTGAAAGCTGTCTGCACATCCAATAATCCTCATGTGAGTGAAGCTTTCAGTCTTTTCCACTTGTCTTTCACAGCTGAAATATTTATCCCTTTTGAGATAAAAGTCATGTGCCTTTCCTTAACTCTGTGAACCGCTGAGTGGGTCTTTCCTTCCCTTGTTCTCTTGTCTGTTCCTGTAGCAGTCCTTGTGGTGCATGTTGATCTTTACACTTATGCTCCAGAAGTTTTCCTCTGCTCCTGTCTGACTGTAAATCAGAAACCTCGAGGCAGGCTGCAAGTCAGAGCCATAATGAACTCACTGGACTGTTGAAACACAGAGGGAGGAGCCTCCACCAGGGCCAGAGTCCTCCCATCACTGCTTTGTCTTAGCGCTTATCTGAAATTTAACTAATCAGACTCAGAAATTAGTGTAATCTTTGTGAATTTTCATTTCAGTTAGAAACTTAAATTAAGGTTTCTTGACTGCTATGGTTGTATCTAGATCAACCTCCCAAAACATCACAGCATTTGGTGTAGTAACCGGAGATTTGTCTGCCTGCTAATGCAGTATATGGCTTTATCATGTTTTCTTTATATGCCTGTGATCATTTGGGTTGTTTCACTTTCACTGTTCAAGTTAAACATGCATCTTAAGTTGACCATGAACACAGGACTCTTAAGCAATGACTTTGCTGAACCGAATATAAACATTGCAGTGTTGACATCCATTAAACGTCACTGAATGCAGTTAGAACAATCAAATAAAAGTTTGCTTTTGAAATGTTTCTGTGGCGTCATCCGGGAGTGGCATTTATGTCCCGTAGGATGTGCTAATAGCAAGTCCATACCTGCTGTCCCTGTGTAACTCGCTGAGTAGTTAACCACACCCTGTATGATCTCATTGTTGAATTTTGTCATGGTGGTACATGCTGGTATTCACATGCACCACTGGTCTTCATGTCTTTTAGTCTTGACTTAGATGCTGTTTGACAAGTGCCAAGGATATTATGGGAGTGTAGGTGTGGATTCATCTGTGTTGGATTTTTTTATTTTTAAATAAAATGATTATTTGGTCTCAGTTAGGGAGATTTCCAGGACTTTCACTGAAATCAGATGGGATACTAGAGGGAGTGGCCTCGGGTCAACATAACAGATAAGGAACAGATGTATTATCAGTCCATAGTTATGGACTGATAATAAGCAGTTGGGTTTTGCAAAGGAAGTTTGGTGTGTAACATTTATAAATGTTTGCTGATTGCACTGATATTCTGTCATGGATACAATTGTTGCTCTGGGTAAAACCAAGCAGGTGGGCTCTTCACGAAGTTATTGAGATAATATACACTAGTTGCAATTAACAAAACTTCAAATGGGGGTACTAATATTAAAACTTCATTATTCATCATCATCATTAATTCAGCCCACTTGAAAATGTATTCTCTTGTAAACAACCTGTTAATTTTCTCCAAATTTATTAAGGTACATTGTAGTGCAAACACAAACACAGTAGCTTCCCTCCTAACATTTCTGATTCTCCTTCCTCCTGTGGTTTATTCATGCCAATAATAATGCAGGTTATGTTATCTGATGGATAAACAGACCGTAGTAACTAGGGATGGTTATCGCTTCTTGGTACCTTTTATGGTACCGAACGAAACAGCCCGTTATCGAGTAGAACCGAAACGTCTCCATTCAAACCAGTAACGTACTTCAATCGATACCTAGGCCTACTTTTTGTAACTTACTATTTGTATGGTTTTGCTTGCTTGTCCATTACAATAAAAATAATAATAAGCTACCAATCAGGTGACATGTCAACAGGTGACATTTTATGTAAGGTATCGAATGAAGTACTCAATTGGTATCGGGATCACTTTAAGGGTATTGGTATCTAAAATTTTAAACGATACCCAACCCTAGTAGTAACTCTAGTGATAGTGTTTGCCAAATGTTTGTAATAATTTGTGCTTCACAACAGATAAAAATGTAATTCAGAGTAGCAAAAGCCTTCACGTACAAACTCAGAAGCCTTTTAAATTGGTAGTCCATATTTGCAGAACTTTGAGGTATAGAATAGCTCCAGTAAAGGTTGAATTTGGGTGTCTTCTGGCCTTGATAGTTTTTCGCTTTTGTCCAAATTTTATTTCTTTAATTGAATTACAGTAAAAAGTCGTTGTAATTCTCAACATGATTTACACTGTTAAAGCAGATTAATCGCGGGTTCTTGGTTAAATGTAAAACATAATGTTTGTGTCTCCGCAGGGCTCCGTTTTGTTTGAGCTGCTGAAACAGGAGCACGAGGGTGGAGCAGCAGAACAGATTGAGACCCCAGCCAGTTTCAGCCAACCACTGCAGCACAACCACACCGCAGCTGACCTGTGAGTCAATCCAACAATCTGTCTTATCAACTGCTGGTACGCAGCAGCTGATAGACCCTAAAATGTTGTTAACTGTTGTGAAACCACTGTCACACAGCGTGCATCATGGTATTTCCAAAAAAAAAAGAGATTGCTGTTCCATGGCTTAAACTCAGCTTGAACTTTCCTTTCCCTATTCTTAACCCTGTAATAACTGTGACTTGTGATTTACTGAAAAATTAATGGACATTTTAATGTAATGTTTGCTTAGTGTTGATAGTCTACCTGATGGAGGCTATTGGGTTTCTCCATTGTCCTTACAGATATCTGTCCCCTGTGCGTCCGGGCCATCGTGTCTTGCCTCCTGAGTCCCCAGCCACGCCCACCTCTCAAACTTCCTCTCAGCCTCCGACCCAGCCTGCCGGCCCGACTCCTCGGCTTCCAAAGTCCAACTCTCTCAGCCTCTTCTATAAAAAATGTAAGATGTCGTTCAAGCTCTCACACATACTTGGTTTTGTAATTTCCACAAGACAAACAAAACATTAGGTTTCTCTGCATAACTTCTGTATAATAACAGAAGGTAACATTATGAACTAAAAATCAGTAATCTCCACATTGTATAAGTTTGAAAACAAATTTTCGTTCGGTTTGTTTTAGTCAGTACACAAATCTGTCAGGGTTTTTCTTCACTTACATTCCTGTTTGCTGCGTCTCTTTGTGTCCAACTGTCTCTGTGGTTTCCTCTCTCTGTAGTGTACCGACTGGCCTACACAAGGCTGAAGATGCTCTGCTCCTACCTGCTGTCCTCCCACCCCGAACTGGAGCCCATCATATGGACCCTGTTCCAGCACACTCTGCAGCACGAGCAAGAGCTGATGAGAGACCGTCACCTCGACCAGGTAACCACACAAGACATTGCTTTCTTTCCATCTTGCTGTCCTTCATTTGCTCATCCACTCTTATTCTCTTGCTCTTAGTCTTTGTCTCAGTCTCTTGCTCTCAGCATGTCCTTCCATGTGGTTTTTTTCCTCAAACTGGTTCTCATTGTTTTTGTAGTTGATGATGTCAGCCATGTATGCCATATGTAAAGTGAAGAGCGTTGATCTGCGCTTCAAGACCATTGTCACAGCTTACAAGAACATGCCCAACACCAACCAGGAGGTGACGCCTTTTGATGTTAATAACTGACTTTTTGTTTTTTTAGTTGTTGTTTTCTTTTTTTTGCTGATGTGATCATAATAAAATGATGTGATCATAATAAAATTTCTAACTTTGCATCTCTTTGTGTCCCACTGTTGCAGACCTTTAAGCATGTATTGATCACTGAGGGCCACTATGACTCCATCATTATCTTTTACAACCAAGTGTTCATGCAGAAGCTGAAAACCAACATCCTGCAGTATGCGTCTACCAGGGTGAGACGTCTTCCCACATTTTTGATTCAGTTTTGATTTTGATACATGTATATTCAGATAAACGTTTGTGCCTGCTCTATACTCTCTTACTGTTGCCTTTTTGTTTTTGTAGCCGCCTACACTCTCTCCAATCCCACAAATACCATGCAGCCCCTACAAGTTCCCCAATTCGCCTCTACGTGTGCCTGGAAGCAACAATGTGTACATCTCCCCCATGAACCCGGGTATGATGACTCCTCGCTCCAGGTGAGTTCTGCATATTGTTGGCAGGTTGTTGTTCTCCTTGGACAGCTTTATTGATTGTCTAAAAAAAAGTAGCCTGATGCTTTAAATTGTTTTTACACATTCTCATTTGTGTTTTTTTTTTTTTTTTTTTTTTTTTTACAGAATGCTGGTATCAATCGGTGAATCTTTTGGGGTACGAGCCTCTTTTGTATGCTTAGTATCATACTAAAGGATAATCTCGATTTTTAACAAGTGCTATGGCAGAATGTGTTCTCCCCTCACTCGCTTTTTTTTTTGTTTTCTGTTTTGTTTTCATCTGCAGCTGTCAAATCGGTTCCAGAGGATCAACCAGATGGTCAACAGCAGCGATCGCTCCTTTAAGAGGACTCTAGATCCCGGCTCCACTCCAAAGCCTCTGAAGAGGTTACGATTCGATGTAGACGGGCAAGATGAAGCCGATGGCAGGTTGGTCACTAATGGTGTTATATTTGCCGTAGAATACTAGCACCCTGATTTATCAGAATTTGTCATGGCGTACATAAACATATGTCAGTAAAGCTCACTTTTTATATTTACATTTGTAGCAAATCTGAACGAGATTCTACGCTGATACAGAAGCTCACAGATTTGAGTAAGTGGAAATCACTTTGTATATTTAGTTCCATTTTTGCCTTTGGATCTTACTGCCAGTTGTGTGGCTTGTGGATCTATGTTCCTCTAACATATTGATAATTATTTTTTGTAGGCTCCACTCGGAGTCGCATGCATGAGCAGAAGATGAAGGAGGATGCAGAATCAAGGAAAGAGTAATTCCAAAACCTACTGAACTGGCCTGCACTGTTTATCACAAAATGAACACTACTTTTTGTTCACACACAAAGTGAAACAGGAGTTTCTTTGTACATTTAGCATTCGATTTTAGTTTGTATTTAACTTTGTCTTTGAAGAGTAATATGTGAATATAGAGGATGTTCTCATTTTGTTGATGCTTTAACTGAGTGTTTTAACAGAATAATGATTTCATTTGAATTTTGACCTGTTGGATATTAAGTATGTTTGGTTTTAAGAGTGGTATTAATTTGTGTGTGAATCATTGTTTTCACTCTTACGAATGTTCTCATCAAGAGCATTGTTGAGATACACGGCTGGTTTGCTTATTGTTAAATAATTGTGTTAACAACCATCAGGACCTTCATATGTTGACATTTTTCTTTTAAAATTTTTTACTTTTCTTATGTTTTAAATCATGATGCAACATTTCAAGTGATTCATGATTACTCTCATCAAAAAGGATAAAATGTCAGCCTCCGAGGGAAATCAATGTCTTTCCATGTAGCAGTTTACATTTAATGTGACTTTTTACTCTGGAACTTGCGTAACCTCTTGGGAAAGTTTTGTTTGTGCCATAAAGTGAGAACTATGAAACAAGATGAAATCTCACTTAAAGGAAAGTTACACAGTATATGATTTGCACTCAACCAAAATTACACATGATTTGATTACAGGTAGTGCTTCTCTTTGGTGTAATATATTTAGTTTTATAGCAACTTTGGTTTTGTACTTTTGGGTGGTAAAAAATATACATACAAGACATGCAACTCTTACTGTGTTTCAACTAAAAGAATATTTTGTTAATGTTTTAAGTCACATTTTTCAACACAATGCTTTAAGTTGTTTGAAATGGCTTATAGAAGATTCTTAGAAAAGGGGAAAGATTTACAGCGATAAATACACACCACGTAGTGCAAATGAATATGTAGACTTCACTCCAGAAAAATGTCACGGTAAAATACTACTAGAAATGTCAATTAACAGAATTTAAAAATTTAAATGTTTATTGTACTTTAATAAAGTAGTTTCTTAAAATAGTAAATATCTGTAATCTGAGATTATTTTGTTTTTGTGCTTCTTTGCATAGCCGTCTCTACATGCTGGCATTTTCTTCTTTGCCTTCAGTTGCCATGAGTCCCTTTTCTTTTGGCCAACAGCAGACAATTTCAGTATGTAGTAATTAACCAGCTGATAGACTGCAGAGCAGCGGTGTTTGTGTTTTCTTGACACAAATTATGGATATCCTTGTGATAACCTCCTTTGGTAATACTCTGGGGTGTGACTTATTTATCTTGGCCCTCCCTGAACTGCAAATATTTCTTGTGAAGGCCTCCCTGAGTGACTGGGGGGAAATACATGAGACACCCTCTACCATAAATTTCATCAAAACTAAACCTTTTCCAACCATTCTGTTTAATGGTCAACAATGTCTTCCCTCTGACCCCCCCTTCTCTTGTCGGGGAAAAAATACAAACTACCAGCCAACGTTTACTGTGTCCTCTCCTATAGTAATGCAAAAGTTATTTTGACAAGTCCAGCTGTGAAACAAAAATAAGATACTAAATTAGTAACACCATTGCAGTGCTTATTATTTGGGGAAAAAAAACTGTACAAAATTATTCAAATGAAATTTAAATTATTAAAATAAATCAAAGGAAAACCAGCAAATCCTCATATTTAAGATGCTGGATTCTTACAGTGGGTATGGAAAGTATTCAGACCCCTTTAAATTTTTCACTCTTTGTTTCATTGCAGCCATTTTCCAAAAATCAAAAAAGTTCATTTCTTTTCTCAGTAATGTACACGCAGCACCCCATCTTGACAGAAAAAGACAGAAATGTAGAAATTTTTGCAAATTTATTAAAAAAGAAAAACTGAAATATCACATGGTCATAAGTATTCAGACCCTTTGCCGTGACACTCATATTTAACTCAGGTGCTGTCTATTTCTTCTGATCATCCTTGAGATGGTTCTACACCTTCATTTGAGTCCAGCTGTGTTTGATTATACTGATTGGACTTGATTAGGAAAGCCACACACCTGTCTATATAAGACCTTACAGCTCACAGTGCATATCAGAGCAAATGAGAATCATGAGGTCAAAGGAACTGCCTGAAGAGCTCAGAGACAGAATTGTGGCAAGGCACAGATCTGGCCAAGGTTACAAAAATATTTCTGCTGCACTTAAGGTTCCTAAGAGCACAGTGGCCTCCATAATCCTCAAATGGAAGACGTTTGGGACGACCAGAACCCTTCCTAGAGCTGGCCGTCCGGCCAAACTGAGCTATCGGGGGAGAAGAGCCTTGGTGAGAGAGGTAAAGAAGAACCCAAAGGTCACTGTGGCTGAGCTCCAGAGATGCAGTCGGGAGATGGGAGAAAGTTGTAGTAAGTCAACCATCACTGCAGCAATCCACCAGTCGGGGCTTTATGGCAGAGTGGCCCGACGGAAGCCTCTCCTCAGTGCAAGACACATGAAAGCCCGCATGGAGTTTGCTAAAAAACACCTGAAGGACTCCAAGATGGTGATAAATAAGATCCTCTGGTCTGATGAGACCAAGATAGAACTTTTTGGCCTTAATTCTAAGTGGTATGTGTGGAGAACACCAGGCACTGCTCATCACCTGTCCAATACAGTCTCAACAGTGAAGCATGGTGGTGGCAGCATCATGCTGTGGGGGTGTTTTTCAGCTGCAGGGACAGGACGACTGGTTGCACTCGAGGGAAAGATGAATGCGGCCAAGTACAGGGATATCCTGGACGAAAACTTTTTCCAGAGTGCTCTGGACCTCAGACTGGGCCGAAGGTTTACCTTCCAACAAGACAATGACCCTAAGCGCACCGCTAAAATAACGAAGGAGTGGCTTCACAACAACTCCGTGGCTGTTCTTGAATGGCCCAGCCAGAGCCCTGACTTAAACCCAATTGAGCATCTCTGGAGAGACCTGAAAATGGCTGTCCACCAACGTTTACCATCCAACCTGACAGAACTGGAGAGGATCTGCAAGGAGGAATGGCAGAGGATACCCAAATCCAGATGTGAAAAACTTGTTGCATCTTTCCCAAAACGACTCATGGCTGTATTAGATCAAAAGGGTGCTTCTACTAAATACTGAGCAAAGGGTCTGAATACTTATGACCATGTGATATTTCAGTTTTTCTTTTTTAATAAATTTGCTAAAATTTCTACATTTCTGTTTTTTTCTGTCAAGATGGGGTGCTGAGTGTACATTACTGAGAAATAAAATGAACTTTTTTGATTTTTGGGAAATGGCTGCAATGAAATAAAGAGTGAAAAATTTAAAGGGGTCTGAATACTTTCCGTACCCACTGTAACATGTTTTTGCATGAACATTTTTTTCCTGAAAATGTATTTATTAATGTGTTGGTTCAGCTGTACTTGTACATTTTTAATGTTGTTTTGGATGCAAAAATCTCAATCTGTAATGTAACTAAATATGTCACATACAGTGAGGAAAATAAGTATTTGAACACCCTGCTATTTTGCAAGTTCTCCCACTTAGAAATCATGGAGGGGTCTGAAATTGTCATATTGTTCAAATACTTTTGCAGCTGTATCATACAAATAAATACATTGTGATTTCTGGATTTTTTTTTCACTGTAATTGTAGTGGAGTAAAAAGTACAATATTTCATGTGTTTCATGTACAAAGTGGCAGGAGAAGAAAAAGTAAGTACCTCGAATTTGTACCGAAGTAGAGGAATAATACACTGCACAAAAAAATAAAGGGAACACTAAACACATCCTAGATCTGAATGAATGAAATAATCTCATTAAATACTCCTTTCTTTACATAGTTGAATGTGCTGACAACAAAATCGCACAAAAATTATCAATGGAAATCAAATTTATCAACCCATGGAGGTCTGGATTTGGAGTCACACTCAAAATCAAAGTGGAAAACCACACTACAGGCTGATCCAACTTTGATGTAATGTCCTTAAAACAAGTCAAAATAAGGCTCAGTAGTGTGTGTGGCCTCCACGTGCCTGTATGACCTCCCTACAACGCCTGGGCATGCTCCTGATGAGGTGGCGGATGGTCTCCTGAGGGATCTCTTCCCAGACCTGGACTAAAGCATCCGCCAACTCCTGGACAGTCTGGTGCAACATGGCGTTGGTGGATGGAGCGAGACATGATGTCCCAGATGTGCTCAATTGGATTCAGGTCTGGGGAACGGGCGGGCCAGTCCATAGCATCAATGCCTTCCTCTTGCAGGAGCTGCTGACACACTCCAGCCACATGAGGTCTAGCATTGTCTTGCATTAGGAGGAACCCAGGGCCAACCGCACCAGCATATGGTCTCACAAGGCGTCTGAGGATCTCATCTCGGTACCTAATGGCAGACAGGCTACCTCTGGCCCTCACACCACCCTCATGGAGTCTGTTTCTGACCATTTGAGCAGACACATGCACATTTGTGGCCTGCTGGAGGTCATTCTGCAGGGCTCTGGCAGTGCTCCTCCTGCTCCTCCTTGCACAAAGGCGGAGGTAGCGGTCCTGCTGCTGGGTTGTTGCCCTCCTACGGCCTCCTCCACGTCTCCTGATGTACTGGCCTGTATCCTGGTAGCGCCTCCATGCTCTGGACACTACACTGACAGACACAGCAAACCTTCTTGCCACAGCTCGCATTGATGTGCCATCCTGGATGAGCTGCACTACCTGAGCCACTTGTGTGGGCTGTAGACTCCGTCTAGGCTAATTGCCTATAATTTCCACCTGTTGTCTATTCCATTTGCACAACAGCATGTGAAATTGATTGTCAATCATTGTTGCTTCCTAAGTGGACAGTTTGATTTCACAGGAGTGTGATTGACTTGGAGTTACATTGTGTTGTTTAAGTGTTCCCTTTATTTTTTTGAGCAGTGTATATGCACTTAGTTACATTCCCCCACTGTTTACAGTACACTTCATTTGACTGACTGTTGGCTCTCTTGATGAAGAGCCAATAAACGCAATCAAAGAAGCTTCTCAAAACCATGTAGACAGGAAAATAATTCAAGCTGAGAGAAAACCTTAAAGTAGACAAAAACAAAAATGTGTAATGTTAGTAACTATACAGAAATGTAGTTCCATTAAGAGTACAGCATGAAAAGAGAGAAGTTACTTGCTGCTCCTTGTTTTTCCCACTGCTGTGAACTCTGTCCAGCTCCTCTGGGGGAAGCGATGACAGCTGCTGCCTGTTCAGTAATAGATACCTTAATTGTGCCGTGGCACTGTTTCCAATGGGGAGACTGGTGTTAATTCATGTTTGAACGCAGAAACAGTTTGGTTTGGGCCCACCCGAGCATGAAACACTTTGAACTGGTTACATTTTAATTGGCCCTGTCCCATGGGGGATAGAAGTGAGTTTATTGAGTGTGTGGGTGTTGATTCTGTGCAGTCGGCCAGTAGCACATGATCGCAAGACACCAAAGGGCTCCGTTCTCTTCTTATTGGAACTGCTTGTGCAATCTACTGATATCTCTCACCTTCATCTCTGAAACTTAAAATAGCTGACAAAAAATATATTTCTTATCTCCAGAGAATGTGATGGTGTTTTCACTTTAGGTTCACTGCTCACAATTGTGCTGTTTTTCCTCAAGGAATGGAAAATCTCACGGTAAGCAGAGTTTGATTTGCACGTGGTCTGTAGAATTTGTCATTCAATAGATCAGTTTAAAACAATTTAGTTGTTAAAAAGTATTCTTTAACAGTAAATGTGTTTCCAGTCTTGTGCTAATTTGTAGAATGTGCCACGCTTTTTATTTTTTGCCTTTAGTTTTGTCCAGGCTTTATTTTCATCTTATAAAATTAAAGTTAAATTATCGATTTTCTTCCTTTTTTAAATGCGTGAATGGACAAATAACACAGCTGCTAACTGTACTTTCCTGTCTCTCAGCCAGAACAATGGCGCGAGATTATGAACAAGAAGATGAGGTTCCCTCCCGAGCTCCTCAGTGCCATTCGGGAAGGGAAAATAGAGCTACTGTGTGGACTGTTGAAGACCGGTGATGGCATCATCCGCCAACTGGATGAGTCTGAGGATCGCCAGTGGAGGGAGGCCCTCAACCTGTCCATCCGCCTGGGAAATGAGGACGGCATGGACGCCCTCCTGCACGGGGTCAAGTTTGACTTCCGGCAGATTCACGAGGCCCTGCTGGTCGCCGTAGACACCAACCAGCCCAGAGTGGTGAAGCGTCTGCTGGACCGCCTGGACCAGGAGAAAGGCAACAAGATGGACGTGCGCTCCTTTTCTCAGGCCATCTTTGACCACTCTATTGACAACTCGCAGTTTGCCCCTGGTGTGACTCCTTTGACCTTAGCCTGCCAGAAAGACCTGTATGATATAGTCACCATGCTTACCCAAAAAGGTCACGTCATCCCATTGCCACATAAGATATCCTGTGCCTGTCTGGAGTGTCGTAACGGCAGGCAGTACGACCTGCTGAAGTTCTCCTTGTCTCGTATCAACACCTACCGTGGCATCGCCAGCCGTGCCTACCTGTCCATCACCTCTGAGGATGCCATGCTCAGAGCTTTTGGTCTCAGCAGAGAGCTCCGCAAGCTCTCACAAAAAGAGCCAGAGTTCAAGGTCTGATGACATTCGTAGATGTCCCCACTCACTGTTCTTGTTGGTTGTCTGTGTTGTTACTTGACTCTGCTGTGGTGCCTTTCTCCTGCAGCCTCAGTACCTGGGCCTGGAGCAGCTTTGTCAGGATTTCGCCGTTGAGTTGCTGGGCATGTGTCGCAACCAGAGCGAGGTGGCCACCATCCTGAACAGCTGTGGAGACGAGAGTCAGGAAGCCATAGAGGAGCAGGCCTTTGAGGAGGGAATACCCAACCTGTCACGTCTGAGGCTAGCTGTCAACTACAACCAGAAGGAGGTAGCTAGATAAAGAAAGTGAGAAGAGTAAAAACAAGACATGTACTTGATCCATGATCTGTCTTTCCCCTCTCTGTGTGTTTGTTTTTTGTGCAGTTTGTAGCCCACCCAATCTGCCAGCAGGTGCTGTCATCTATCTGGTGTGGGAACCTCGCAGGCTGGAGAGGCAGCAAGACGGCCTGGAAGCTGTTTGTCTCTGTGGGGATCTTTCTCACCATGCCCCTCCTCTGTCTCGTCTACTGGCTCGCACCCAAGTCAAAGGTTTAAAAAAAATAACTAAATGTTGAGGGAGGTTTATACTCACAGATTGTCATGAGAGACATTCAATCAAGAAAATAAGACGAACAGGAGATTCTTGGCCCTAATATGTCATCGTCTTTTGTGTTTTCTTTTCACCAGGTAGGAAAGATGCTAAAGATTCCTGTGATCAAGTTTCTCCTCCACTCAGCCTCCTACATGTGGTTTCTCATCACGTTACTTGGAGAATCAATAACAATGGAGCTGTACCGAGACAAATATGCCTCCCGGCAGCAGAACATCCTGCACAGCTCCTTCCACATGGTGTGGGTAGTTGGTGGGTTCACTCTCTCTTTTCTAACTCCCTTCTCTCATGGCCTGGCAATAGATAAATCAGGTTTTAGTGTTTTTGCAATGCTGTCTTATTTAGGGTTCTTCTGGTATGAGTGTAAGGAGGTGTGGATCGATGGGCTGCGGAGTTACTTGTTGGACTGGTGGAACTGCTTGGACATGGTGGTGCTCAGCATGTACCTGGCATCCTTTGCGTTACGTGTGCTTATCATGCTCAAAGGTTACTTCCTCTGCCTTGATCCTGATGGCACAGAGGAGTGTGTCTACTTCACTCAGACTGGTAAGACAATTATGTCAGATTTATACATTGTTTTATACATTTGTTGGAGGTCTTAAATGTTCTTGGTGCTAAACTGGCCTGTTTGGTGGCGTGAAACCATCCTGCAGTGCGTGAGGACTGGCATCAGGAGGACCCCCAGTTGATTTCAGAGGTGCTGTTTGCAGTAACCAGCATGTTGAGCTTCACGCGGCTGGCGTACATCCTGCCAGCCCATGAATCTCTGGGAACTCTGCAGATCTCCATAGGGAAGATGATTGATGATATGATGAGGTAAGAGCCCTTTCCATTTTGTTTCCTGGATTATATATCTGCATATTTGTATATTGATCATTGCCTGGTTGGAAATTCAGGGCCAATGATGTTTTGTTTTTTCTTTTTTAGATTTATGTTTATATTGATGATCATTGGAACAGCATTCCTCTGTGGCATCAACAATGTCTATGTTCCTTATGTCATCTCTCCATATCTTGGCAGGTAAGAATATGGAGTCTTCAGCTTCCTATATACTGTACCCTGCTGCAGTGGTTAGCACGGTGACCACAATAACACAAGGTTGCCGGATAAAATGGGGACAGATGAAGTAAATATGAAGTTAGCTTAGCTTAGCATAAAGACTGAAGGTTTGGGGATGCACCTAGTCTGGCTTTGTTCAATGGTTAAAAAAAACAGCACCTCGAAAGCTCATTACAGATATAGATTGTTTTATTTGTACAAAAAACAAAATGTAAACAACAAATTATGATGATGAAAATAATTTAAAGATAGTTCAATTCTCCTTCTTCTTGTATTTGAGACTATTTTTTACCCTCTTCTGCATGCAGGAACTCAATCTAATCTTACTTATTCAAATTATGTACAGAAAATAAATCGTCTGTCTACACTTAGCCACCCAGGTGTGAAAACTATGCCTGAGTAAACTAACTTCCCTGGCTGCTGAAAATAAAATAAAACACAGAACATGTCACAATTGTTAGTTTATAAAAAAGTCTTAAACACTCTTCATGATAACACTATCCGCTGCACTTCTGCAGGTTTAATGAGACGTTCAACTTCTTATTCTGGACCATGTTTGGCATGGCCAACCAGGGCTACGTGGACATGCCGGAGTTTGTGTTGGCAGAGTTTGTAGGAAGGATTCTGTACGGCATCTTCACGCTCGTCATCGTCATCGTCCTGCTCAACATGCTTATTGCTATGATCACTAACTCCTTTCAGAAAATTGAGGTAAAGAGATGATCTTCATGTGACACGCCTGCAATAAAATGAGGAAACCAAAGACTGGCACTGGCATCTCAACTTTTTAATTTCAGGATGATGCGGATGTTGAGTGGAAATTTGCCAGATCAAAGCTGTACCTCAGTTACTTCAGAGAGGGCCTAACCATGCCTGTGCCCTTCAACATCATCCCCTCACCCAAATCTGTCTTTTACATCTTAAGGTGAGATCTAAAATGCTAAATGCACCTTTGACCTGCAAATACACTTCACTGTTTATCTATATTTTAATTTGTTCATTTTAATTCTGTTCCAGGGGTATCTTTAGACGAATCTGCTGCTGCACTTGTATATCTAAGGAAAACTATCCCGCTATAACCTCTATGGTACGTGTATGTTTCATGCTCGCATACAGGAGATAGGGTGAATGTACTAAAAAAATGTCTTACACAAATTCTTTGCTAAACACTATGCACTGAAATTCATAATGTTAAATATGTGTTTTAAGACCAGTGTTAAGGGATCTGAAGACAGCCAGGTACCTTACCGGCAGCAGGTGATCAGAGCTCTGGTTCAACGCTACATTGAGTCAGCTCGCAGGGAGTTTGAGGAGACAAAGAGGAAAGGTAATTGTGACACACATCTGTCAGGGCTGAACAGTAAGCCAGTATTAAAAAGTCCTGTTGGATCAAAGACCTGCCCTGTTGCATGTCGCCCCTGTTCTCCCTTCCATCTTTGTCTCCTACTAGCTATCTAATTTATAGTCTAAAATTATAAATTATATAAATGTTATGCTTGTGAGTGGTTTGAAATTATACTAATATAATAATATTTTAGGACTGTGATACACAGATCATTCATTTTCATAATAACACAATTTCACTGGAGATAATAATAATAATATATATCAATTTAGACATTTTAATTTCAAAAAAGTCTTTATCGAAAGTCTGCCTTTTATTTCATGTTAAGCTAACAGATGCTATATGGGTAAATGTTGGTAGCAGTTGTTGAGCTAGCTTAAGATGCAGGGAGCATGTCATTGGCTGAAACGTGAGGGGGCGTTAACAACACGCAAGAAATAAAAAGTGTCAAGAAATAATGAAAGAAATGAGACTCTTGATGGCACAGAATAAAATGCTAAGTGTTAACAGATTTTCCTATGAAAAAGTATTTGATTAAAACCCCTAGCCTGTAGAAATTGAATAGCATTATTTATCAATAAAGTGCTTGCATGTTGGGTTGTGATTGGGGTTCTTCTCTTCCCTCAGATATTGGTAACCGGATCACTGAGCTGAGCAAAGCAGTCAGCAGGATGCACATTGATATGAAAATGATGCAACAGCTTCGGGTGGATGATGGACACTCTGCAAGCGACGCATTGACCAAGGATTGCTCCTCCATACTGGGGAAATACATCATTGGTGCTAAGAACAATTTCAGAGGTTTTGACACCAGACCAGATGACAAAATTACAGCACTCAAATTGACAGTGCACAATGGAGAGGAAGGGGTGGATAACGAGAAGGTTGACTTAGATACACACAAAAAAAAGGAGTCAGACGTACGACAGAATCAGGGGGGCGAAGGTGGAGCAGAGGGATCACAGCAGGTAACAGACTGTGATTTTGTGAAAATGGAGGAGGGCAGAGCTAAAGCAGAGCTGGGGGATAAGACGTGTGAAAGTGATAACAAAGAGCAGGTGGAAACAGACAAAAATGAATATACTGACACTGAAGTGAAAGAGGAGGGGGTGGAAGGGACAAGTTTTAACAATATAGAAGAAACAGTAAAAGCCAAGGCCACACAGGGTGAGGCAGAAAAAAGTATGGAAGGAGAGATACTGACTGGAGCGAAGGTGGGTGGAAAACGCACAGAGACGACCCCTGAACAAGCTGAAAGCCTCAAAGTCAGTAATGAAAACGCCGACACAAAGAGAATGGTAAACAAGTTCAAAGACATAGAGCTGCAAGAAAAACAAGTGGAGGCAAGATGGATGAAGGGTAGAAAGTCTGAGGATAATGTAGCAGAGAAGCCTTGTGTCAAGGCGAGCAATGAAAAACCTGGAGGCAAGAAAATGATTCCCTCGCCAACAGGCAGCAGCAGCTCCCAGGACACGGGCTTTGGTTCCCGAGAAGGGGAGGGATCGATTGATGGGATGCTAGTGAGGCCGTAACTGGTGATGTCCCTTTTAAAGGGCCACACTGACTATTTCAGGTTTTGGCCCTTTGGTCACCTTATCCAATATCTGAGGAGACACAATTAAAATTTAATAACTTGGTTTTCCATGGCCTGCAGCTTCATAATTTTGGCACTGTGGTGGAGATGTCTGTCAGTTGGTCCATACAAAACTTTGATCCAGAGTAACATATCTTAACATCTATGGGTCAGATTGGTATAAAATCTTCTATATATTAATGATTTTTATTTATTTATTTTTTTTACAACCCCTTGATCTCTTGTAATCTAGATTGGTCAGAATTTCTCCTTCACCAACACTCATGAAGGCCCGCTTGAAAACTAAGCACCAGCAAATAAAATATTAGTTTGTATACAGGATAACGTTTCATAATCTAATCAGCCTATTAGAAAATTTAATTTGCTGAGCACTCTCATATTTTGGGGTTATAATTATTATTACAGCCTACTGGGGCTACTAGCACAGCTTCTAGGCTTGCTCACAGTTAAACATTTTTTTAACTAAAACGTCCACAATTTGGGAAATATAGTCTTGCACATAGCCACCCATAAGACACCAAATTGTCGTGTTTTTGTACCAGTTAAACAAAGAACACATAACGTGTTAATTACTTAGCTTTAGAGGTGCTGCTAGGTTGTTAACAAACAAAGCTAACCACCTTCATATTTAGTGTGCATACATGAGAGGCATCTAACTTTCTGCCAGAAAGCAAATAAGTGTGTTTCCCAGAATGCTGGACAATTTCTTTAATCTTAATTGCTGATACTGTGAGAGACCTTTCATGTGGTGTAGCCAATAAGTGTACAAAAAACTGTAGCTTTTTTCCCTAGTTCTACTCACATCCTCTGTGAAATAAGTAAAATTGGTTCATTGGTCAGTTAATTAAGCCAAGTGTCACACGCTTGTTGTACTGCTGCTTTGTGGGTATCTCGCCCGTCACTGCCACTTTCCAAAGTTCACTGTTCATTAGCAAAGAGCCTTTGATGGTCATTCTGCTTTCTCTTAATATTCAAACATCTGATGAAAATAGTATTGTGTTCAAGTTTTGCACAACAGTTACTTTTTAACACAATTAAAACATCAAAAAATATTTTTAACTTTGTGTTGATTGAGGTTATGAATTGGTGTTTCTCTTTAGTAGGTTGCAGACCTACATCCTGCTACAGTCTAACAGTGCAGGTCTCAGCTTGCTTTACACATGCTGCTCCCTTGAGGTCGCATGCATCAACACACCACTTCATTAATTCATCACCTGCAGCATCACCTGTCCCAAGACACTTCCACAGGAAAAAACACCTTGGCTTGTGGCCCTTTGTTGCAGTATTGCATGATTGATACAGTCAGCATTTCCACCTTTTGTTTCAGGTGTTGTGCGCCTTATCTGCCATTTTCACCACAAATAATTTAAACATATTTTATGTCACCTGACACAAAAGCCTCCAACACATCATGTCACCAGGAAAATAAATTCATGTCTCATGTGCACAGGCATTTTGTATCACCAGCTAATGGTAATCACCACCCTGTTAGAGCAGCTGACAGAAAATCTTCATTTCCCTAAATTTCATTTCCTAATAAACAAGAACTAATAACTGCATACTGACTACCTACACTACCCATTCTTATTTAGCTATGTTGGATGTTGAAGATGATTTACCTTAGTTATTGTTAAGAAAGATGTTCTATTTCTTGAGCGTTGTATGGTACTGACCTGAGCAAAAATTATTTCTCTTTGTGGACAACAAAGAACATATATGACCAAGAGCGGATATATCATGTCACTGTTGATGGGGATAATAAAATAAAGTTGCTGAGGGTCTGAAAAAGGTAGCCAGTGGACCAAACCAATATGAGGCTTATGAGAGAGGGAGGACATTATCTTACTATAGTAGAGAAGAACTGTTTGAGCACCAAATACTTGACTAGTCAATGACAGACAACAGCGGTTATATTTAGTGTTTTAATCAAAATTATTACTGGGGACATGTCCCTACCTCTACACCCTTGTCTATGACATATCTACTGTGTATCAAGAAATGCAGGTCTAAATATGTACAACTTGTAATATTCACATGCTCAGGTTTTGAGGTATAACTCAAGATTTATTAAATTTCTTGACAACCATGAGACCAATATATAACATGTTTAATTTTCCACACATCTGAAATACAAACATGAAGTTCATTAATGTGACCCAGATATTACAAAACTGTATTGATAAAAATGAAAGGCAAATATTAATTCATTATACTGTACTCTAATAATTCTATACAAACATACAGTACATACAACACCCTTCATGATGAAAATCCAGTATATTAAATAAAAACTGCAAAGATTTGTGTATGTAAAATACTGTTGCAACATCATATACAAATAAAAAGAACACTCTGTTTCCAAAAATACATATTTAATGGGGAAGCTGGTAGTTAAGGGGAAGTGTGTCTGAGTGAACCACACTTCAGTTAGGAACCACACATCAGGCACTCATCTTTGTTCGCTAAGGAACAGACCATGGCAGCAGTGTTGCGCTCTTTGGTCTCCTCCTCACTCTTGACTGACTGCGTCTCCTTTAATTTCTCCTTGTTCAGGGTGAATTGGATGGGGTTGGCAGCAGGCTTCGTCCGCAGGTAGTACATGCCAGTTTTCAGGCCCTGCAGAGAAATTAAGACAGGCATTAAGCCCCTTTTCCACTGGTGGAAATGTTGTCCCCAGGCACTACAATGTATCAAACCTGCATTCTCTCAGTCCTGACTTACCAACTTCCAACCATAGAAGTGCATGCTGGTCAGTTTGCCATAGTTTGGCTCAGCAATATGGATGTTTAGGGACTGGCTCTGGTCAATGTAGGCACCACGGTCTGCTGCCATCTTCAGGACAGTCTTCTGGGAGATTTCCCACACAGTTTTATACAGCTGCTTCAGATCATCAGGGATCCCCTCAATATCCTGTGGCCAAATCAGACGTGTTTAAAAATGATCAAAAAATAAAACAGAGCAGTGATACTGACTAATTTAATGAGTTTAGATTTTGTTAAGAATGACCCTTTACCTGGATGGACCCGTTCTGAGCAATCAGCTGGTTCTTCATTTCATCACTCCACAGTCCTCTTTCTGTGAGGTCCTTCAGCAGATGCGGATTCACAATCTATGGGAGCAACAGAAAAGACACTTGGCAACCTTTTCCTCCTCTGGACACGCGTCTCTGGAGACACAAAACATCAAATGCATTCAGTGCTGACCTGAAACTCTCCTGAGAGCACCCTGCGGGTATAAATGTTGCTGGTGTAGGCCTCAATTGACTCGTTGTTGCCCAGGATCTGGGCAGTGGAGGCTGTGGGCATGGGGGCCAAGAGCAGACTGTTCCTCACACCATGCCTGAGGACACACAGAAGCGAGTCAGGAACTGAATCAGGGATGAGCTACTATCTCCACATACAGTAGATGTGAGATGAAAAACATCAACATCAAGGAAAATGTTCAGGAGGACTTACTTGGCAATTTTCTCCTTCAGTGCTTTCCAGTCCCACAAATCTGTTGGGGTTTTGCCCCACATGTCATACTGAAGGATCTGGAAAACACAATTAGTTAGGATCTAAACCCAAACTGCTTAACTTTACACTTTATTTTAAGCTGTAAAAACTACTCACTCCCTTGCTGACAGGAGAGCCAGCGTAGGTTTCGTAAGTGCCAAGTTCCGCTGCCAGCTCACAGCTGGCCTCCAGGGCAGCATAGTAGATAGTCTCAAAGATCTGAATGTTGAGCAACTGGGCCTCTGGGCTTTCAAATGGATAACGCATAAGAATGAAGGCATCAGCCAGACCTTGTACACCGATTCCAATCGGCCGGTGACGCATGTTAGACCTTTCAGCCTGTAAAGCGGGACAGAAGAGCCATTTGTTACAACAGACCACACAGCATTTGCATGGTTGACTGAGAAGCAACACTAGACAAGGAAGCCTACCTCAGGCACTGGGTAGTAGTTGATATCAATAATCTTATTCAGGTTCTTGACAACAACTTTGGTGACAGATGCAAGCTTTTTAAAGTCAAATGTCCTTTCTTGGGTGACATACATGTTGAGGGCAATGGATGCCAGGTTACACACTGCAACCTGAGTTGAAGAAAGAACAAACCAAACTGAAAACAAGCAACAACAAAATAATGTAATATAACAGAAACAATAAGCTAAATCTATAGGCACTAATGCAATATCCCCTGCCCCTTACCTCATCTGCGCTTGTGTACTCTACGATCTCTGTGCACAGATTGCTAGATTTGATGGTGCCCAGATTCTGCTGGTTGCTCTTCCTGTTGCAGGCGTCCTTGTAGAGCATGTATGGTGTACCGGTTTCTGTCTGAGACTCAATAATGGCGTACCACACCTGCTGAGCCTTCACCACACGCTTAGCCCTGCCCTCCTTCTCATATCTGAGGACAAAAAGCACACGCGGGACAGGTTAGCACTGAGAAATGAGCCGTTTGTGAAAAACAGAGTTTGGTGTGCTGGACTCACCGAGTGTAGAGCTCCTCAAACTTCTCTCCCCAGCACTCCTCTAACCCAGGACATTCACTGGGACACATTAGAGACCAGTCCTACAAGAGCAGGAGAAGAACAATTAGACTTTTTCCCAAACGCCTCAAGAGCCTCAAACTGTCAAACCCAACAGATCACATATACAAAGATAAATTCCCTCCAGTATTCACCTGATTGCTTTCTACTCGTTTCATAAAGAGGTCTGGGATCCACATGGCGAAGAACAGGTCTCTGGCCCTCTGCTCCTCTTTACCTGTGTTCTTCTTCAATTCTAAGAAGTCAAACACATCGAAATGCCACGGCTCCAGGTACACAGCGAAGGCCCCAGGTCTCTGAATAAGCGAACACAGAGAGCCAAATGATTAAACTTAGTGTCTTTCGAGCAACAATGTCAAGCACCATTCTAGTGTGTCCTGTAAATCTTAGTCTTTACCTTGTTGCCACCCTGGTCGACATAACGTGCTGTGTTGTTGTAGACTCGAAGCATAGGAACTAGTCCATTGGAAGTGCCATTGGTCTAAAAAACAAGAACCACTGTAAGTAATACAAAAAGGACACAAATGAAAGCTTCTCTGTCTGCTTGATTTTGATCCTGCTGTGTGCTTTTAACTCACCCCAGCAATGTAGCTGCCTGTAGCTCTGATACAGCTAACTGCCAATCCAATACCTCCAGCTGATTTGGAGATGAGGGCACACTGCTTCAGTGTGTCGTAGATACCTTCGATGCTGTCGTCCTTCATGGAAAGCAAGAAACAACTGCAACCCCCCCCCCCCACAAACAAATAGATTAGGAAAAAAAAATACGTTTACAAGAAAGCATCAGAGATTTGGTAAACTCAAGAGTCCGTACCTGGACAGCTGTGGCTTGTTGGTGCCAGCGTTGAACAGAGTAGGTGAGGCATGGGTGAACCACCTCTCTGACAGCAAGTTGTACGTCTCAATGGCTGCATCAATGTCTCTTTTATGAATCCCGACTGCCACTCTCATTAGCATATGCTGCGGCCTCTCAGCAACTACAGAAAAAGAGGTTAATTAACAATTAAAAATATCCATAAAATGAGCCTCTGACCCATAAGCATGCTTCTCAAGACGTCACAGGAAAAGCAACTCTCACCTTTGCCATTAATCTTCAACAAATACGACCTCTCAAGAGTCTGTTTGAGCAAAAGGACAAATTAGATTCATCCTCCAAAGTAAATGCATGAGATGCTGAATGTAAAATGAAATGAAAAAGTACCTTAAAGCCAAAGAAGTTGTAAGAGAAGTCTCTGTCGTAAATGATGGCTGAGTTGAGGCGCTGCAAAGAATAAAGGACATTATGTTACAAAGTGCTGAACGTGATTAAAAGCAGTGACTTAAGATTTTCAAACGCGATCAAAATATCATCAAATGCGACTCACAGCCTTGTTTTCAATGACAATGTCGAGCGTCTCCTTGGAGATCATAGGAGAGTGCCGTTTATTTAATGGGTTCACGTAGTTGTACAGGTCTTCCATCACATCTGCAAAAGGAAAGAAAGTGTAATATCAGTGCTAACAATGTAACCTCCACCAACATCATAATAAAATAATACATTTAAAGAGAAGATCAGTGTTGCTATTTGACACAGAAAATGCAATGTATTTACCAAAAAATGTTGCACCAGAGGGCATTATGATGGCTAAATGAATGTGTAGTGCATTAATGCTGATGTCCGGAAAGGTTCTCAGTCATCCAGGTCATAGCTATCCAAGGAAGGTTAAAATCAAGGGCAACTGAACTTGGTTGAAGATATTAAAAATCTTGTTGATGCTGTTATTTCAATGCAAAGTCATATTTATAAATACTAGTTAGGCACACAAAAATCACAACACAACTTGCAGCAGAGCCGTGTATTTTTTTTACGGTAACTTAATACATGTACTCACCACTGAATACTTTCTTGGTCTCTTTGTGCAGGTTAGACACAGCAATCCGTGCAGCCAGGATTGCATAGTCAGGATGTTTGGTGGTGAGGGTGGCGGCGGTCTCTGCTGCCAGTGTGTCCAGCTCAACTGTGGTGACTCCACTGTACAGACCCTGGATCACCTTCATGGTAATCTGAGCCTGCGGAAACAGACATAAAGAGGTTACACACGGTACACTATCACTGAATTGGAGTCTGC